AATCTTTTATTTTTATATATATATTTATTTACTATTTTTTATTTTCCTTTTTTATGGGTTTTAATCCTTGCTGGTGGTCATTGGTCACAAAGCTTATTTCTTCCTAAAAATAGCCTCATGAAGGTGCCAAACAATTAATTTAAATGCATCCTTAGTGAAGTTGAGAAGTTCATTACTAGGTGCAAAAAAAAAAAACTGTTGTAATCGATAAATCGGTATGAATCGAATCTTTGCTTCAGTTCGGTTTTTTTACGGTTCAATCTTGATTTAATTCTAAAATAAAAAAACCGTTAATTTATAATTCTAGTTCCAAGTCTATTAGGACCTAACTAAATCGTAGACTATATATGTTCTAATAATAATATATCATGTGTAACAAATATAAGACTAGTCACAAGTACACAAACATATTTTAAAAAATAATGAAAATAATAATCAAAAAAGAATCGTGGTTCAAAACTGAATCGTACCGGTCTTCTACAGTTCAGTTCGGTTTTAAACCTCAACGATTCCAATCTCAGTTCTTAATTTTTTAAATAACTGATGGGATGGTTCGATTCTAATTTAGTTTGGAATCGAACCATGTGCACCTTAATTACCATTAAAAAGTGATAAGGGAAAGATTTACGAATTACCATGTTAAATTGTTGTTGTTAAACAACATGACAAGTTCAAGATTTCTTAAAAAATATATACTTATATTTTTTTTTTCTAATTTCTTACAAGATTACAAGTTTACTTTTAGAAAAATAATTTCAAAGAAATATAAACCATGAAGAGTATTTGTAACAAGGAGTATGTCCCACGTCGAATTCAGATGGAAGAGTAATTGGGTATATATGGGTTAGGTGTTAGCCTCACCTAATAGTGTAGGCTTTTGGGTTGAATCGCAAATCACCCACCGATTATAGTCGGTATCAGAGTTAGAGCCAGACTCAATCCTTGATCCGGTGTAATGCCAAGTGCCCAGTCTGGAGGACGTCCGAGTGGCCTGACCCGCAACGAAGCATTGCGAATTCGAGTGTGAGAGAATGCAACAAGGGGAGTTTGTCTCTCATCGAATCCGGCAAGAAGTAGAAGCAAAGAAAGAGAAAGAGCATTTTCGGTAGCGTACTCCCCAGGTACGGAATCCGAATGGGAGAGTGATTGGGTATATATGGAATAAAGATCCTCTCCAAGGAAAGAAAATGTCATGCACACAGGAAAGGAGAGATCTTGCACACCCACCAACTATTGATATGACATAATTATTAGTGAGAGAATCCAATCCAATCCAATAGTTAGTGGGTGTGCAGGATTTCTCATTTCTTATAGAGGATCCTTATTCGTAAATAAATTGGTAGGTGATTAGCTCTAGCTAATAGTTTAAATTTTTAGATAGAAAAAAGATAGAAACCCAAAATCAAATTGTTAGAGTTTTTATTATTATTATTATTTATATTTTATCCTATTCGTATTTAAGGATTTAGACACATCATCATCCTCATCCTTTATCCCCAACTGGACTAGGTTGGTTGTCATATGATTTTTTATTTTTATTTTTACACGACGTGTTTTTTTCTGAGATTTAAATTTTTAAAATTATTTTTTATTACTCATCCACATAAATTTTAGACTGTCTCTTCCTCGTTTAAAGTCCAAACAAACAATTCTTCCTCTTTTAACCAGACCAAAGGATTTATACACGAACAAGGAAGATCGTTTTCCTTTCCATTTTCCTATTACTTTATTACCCCTTTTGTGTTGAATCCATTAACCCAATTTATAAGACCTTAATGGCACATTAATAACAACTTTCTCTTTCAAATTCTATATATATGTACACGTACATAAAAAAAAACACAACCACATAACTACTCCACTCTACTTACATAAAACACCTTATACTTATTATAACTTAAATGTATATAAGGGTAATTTATTCAAACTATAATTTAATGGTAGGAAAAAAATTGAAATTTTTTTAATATAACAACGTTCTCATTGAATTCATGCCCTCATACTTGTTTGATGGAACAATTAACAATTTCTGGATTCATCGAATTGAGAATGCAAGCTGCGTGGTCCTCCTAGTTTAATTTGCACTGAATAAAATTAATGACATCAAAACTAGTTATTAAGAGGGAAATAAATGCAGCTGATGCTTAATTTATTACGTATATCTCTTTTAATTTGATTTATTAGATATTCTCCTATTTGACTTGATGATTCCTTCAGCACAATTAGAAATTTGAATTTAATTGATAATTAACCCGATTAATATCTGATTTAGACTTCAAAAACATTCTTTTTAGGGTCCAGTCAAGACTCGAAAAACAAAAGGTTCATGGGCTTAGCCCCGCCAAAATTTTGGAAACCAAACATACCCTACAAAATCTAGCTTTTCCTTTTCATTATGTAAAAGATGTAATTGAGTAAAAAGTGACTAAAGCAACCCCCCTTCTCTCTCTGTCTCCCTCCTTGCTTGTAGGTCAAGGGTTGAAATTGAAAATGGTTGAGGGGGCTTTGATGACAATTTTGTGGACCACCTATAATATTACAGTACCAATCAATGTAACAAATTAAGCAAATATGAGAGTTGTTGTTAAAAGCAAAAGAATAGCAACATTTGAGGATTTTCCTCATAATAGAACTTCATCATCTTTCATTTAGCTTCTAAATCACTACCGAAATATTACAGTTAACCCTTGAAACTTTTTGGATTTAGACCGGTTGTCCAGGAGTAATAAATAAATAAAATTGAGGGGGAAGGGGCAATTGCCCCTGATCCCTCTGTAGGTCCGTGCCTGCTCAGTGGTGAGTTCTACTATAAAAAAGTTTAAGTTATAGCAATTAGTATCTTTCTTAATTGAGAAAGTATAAGTTGCTTTATATTGTTCAGTTTCTGTATAAGAACATACAACAAAATCTTAACACCCAAAATTTCTCTTTTCTCTTTCTCGAACGATGAATTCAAGGTTGTGAAGGCAGGTGAAATAAGGATTCGTTTTTGTTTCAATTAAAGATACTTTGAAGTAATCCGATTACATTTTCGCACTATTCATTATTTGTGTTTTTTTTTTCCTTTTTTTTTTTTTTTTTTTCCAAAATAGGAGAGAAAATCATTATTCTTAATTGTATAAGTTTAAGTTCCTTGATGATAACTAACATCATGCATGCTATATACGTATTGGTCCACACAATAAATGGTCCTGGTTACTCAATTTCATCATGGTGTTGTGTGTAGCTTTTTGTATACATTATGAAGGGGTTAAATTTTGGAGAGACGTAATTTGCTACACGCGTGAACTCTTGTTATGATGGGAGCCACCCCATGGGGACACACAAAAAAGTCAATATGCCAAGGGCCCCACAAAAAAATAAAAAATTGAAATATATACATAATAAAGCTAATAATTACTTGTTGGAAAAAAGTTTTTTAACCTCCAAGCGGTTAAAACCAATTACTCTTAAACTGGTCGATATTAAAATTTACCTGTCCATGGATTATAAACCTCACCAAATCAATGTTTCCACATGGGTACTAGTGGTTAATTTTTTATTTTTTATTTTAACATAATAATCTAGAAATTTATACATATACATGCAATATAATATATTATTTATCATATTTTGTTATATATTAGAGGCAATGCTCTCTTTAGTATTTATAAAAAGAAATGCAATATGAAAAAAAAAAAAAAAAAAAAAATTCTGTGTCTTTTTTGGACTCATTTACTGTTAATTACCCCAAAAAAAAAAATGGACTACAATAATAATGACACGAGATATTAATCAGTATACTTTAAAAAGTACTCTCATTTTCTAATAAATTATCCAGATCAAACTCTTGATCTTTAAGTTCAACTATAATTAAATTTATAGAGTAGACAAAAAATTTCACAAAAAATAGGTAATAAAATGCTTAATAAAATTTCACATTAATTTTTTACTTTTATACTTTATAATTACACTTTGCTAATGTTACAAATTCTTTTATTTTATGGATAATGGATTAGAGGATTGAACGAGAAAATAATAGCAAGAATCCATCTCATAGATAGCACACATAAAGTGGGATCAAACCCCAAATTCTAATAAACAGAAAACCTTAACCCAATAAAAAACAATAACTCTTACCAGAGAGGGTCCAACCGGATCATACCAAGTTACTAATAAGGTAAATTTTATAATAGTGTAGTCTCAAAATCGAGCATTGTTCCGTGAGCTTGAATATGAGTATTTTCTTCATTTTTATTTTTTTTTAAATTTTTGACAAAGAAAGAAAGAAATGAGCAAGAAAGAAAATTCTAATATAACTTCATAATCTCTTTAATTTCATGTTTTTTCCTTCTCTCTACGAATGATTGCTTTCCATTTTTTATATATTTCTTTCTTACCAAACAGCCTGTGCCAAATGAACCGACACCGGTCCAAAGTCCAGCCCATTTTCCATATCTAATAAATCCAATTTGCAGCCAATCCCTCGCCGAGAATTTCGGCCGGGAAAACAAATTCCGCGGAATTGAATACACTTTTCCATCGAACACAAACACCGTAAATTCCGTTCCCTCGGGAATTCCGTACCGAAACCCCTTACGGATCTCCGTCATGGACCGCCTACGTGGCAGATAGTAAAGAGCCACTCACCACTCCACTGAGGCCCTTCGGTTAAAGCATTAAAGTTGGTTGAGAGTGTCAGAACAGTAAATACGTAGAGCTAGGGGCCAAAACCTGGCACGTGACTGCCCTGCGTCGGTGGACACGACTCACACGCTCGCTCAGGTTCCGAGAGAGAGAGAGAGAGAGAGAGAGAGAATCATATTTAGAGAGAGAAAAAAGGAAAGCGGTTAGTGGCGGTTAGAGGGGTGGTTACAATTGGTGGAGAGGGTTTAGTTAAAATTAAACCTAACCACGGTCAAATCAGGACCTTTTTGAGCTTAACCGCCGTTAACGTTAAACCAAACGGTAACGGGTTCTCTCGTCTTGCTCTATAAAGAGGTCGTTGCCTTTGAGCTTCTTCTTTGACTCCATTTCTGCTCGGCTGCTTTTTTATTAATTCTTTCTCTCTATCTGTTCTTTGGTTCCATTTTGGAGAAAGAAAGTGAGGATAGTTTAGGGAGAGAAAGAGAGGGGGCTCTCTGCTACTGTGTAATGGCAATGGCGGTTTCTAAGAAGTGGATTTCTCTGTGTTCGTTGCTGCTTCTGTTGCTGTTCGTTGGTGTCATGGCGAGAGTGAACAAGGACGAGATCTCTGAGACGAGGTATGTTTCTCTCTATAAACTCACTCGTACTTTCTCTCTCTAAATCCCCTCTTTCTCCCTCTGAGTTTGTGTTCTGTGAAATTGAAGGTTCTTTGAATGTATGAAAACCAGAGATTCTCTGTAGTAGTAGTAGTAGTAGTCTCTCTCAGTCTCTCTCTCTCTCTCTAAATTCTCTGTTCTGCGCTGATTTGAGCGTAGAGATTCGTTACAATGCTCGGTCGATTTTTGTGTTTGTAGCTCTATCTTGTGATTAATTGCTTGTTTGGTTCGAAATTTATCTGCATTACATGGTTTTCTCAGAAAAATCTTGAGAGTGTTCAAGTTCTTTTAGGTTTTTTTTTTTCAAATTCTAAACAGAATTCAAGAAAGTGCTTGTAGATCTTTGGAAATCTCTGGTTCACTAACTATTTTTTTACAATTTTACTCTACGAAATTCGGTGTTAGAGAGAGGGAGAGAAAAAGAAAGAGAGAGTTCATAGAGATTTAACGGTGTTCGTTACGCTGAAACTTGCACATTTTTGTTTCTTTAAACAGAAATGGCGAAACAGAGGAGTTGCAGAGCTCGAACAACTCAACAATGGCGGCGAGGTCAGTAACTACTCAGTACTTTCTACACCTAAACTCAGTCTAACGTTATTACTTTTACATTTCCACAAATCAAAGCCGTCCGTTCTGTCTCTAGACCAATCTCCTACCGTTAGATCAGTTGTACCTACATGTTTATCCAAATCTCAGAACAATCTCAGCCGTTAAGATCCGATTCCCTTAGATCTGGATCGTTTATTCCGTTATATTAGTTCTTCGGATTCCTCCGTCACAACAACAAACCCTTATTGGCCCTCTCATCCCATTACCCTACACATTTCCATAATTACCCTCTCCACTCCCTTCTAATCCCATTTTTACTTGGCATTTTCAGTCATTTACTTCTGCGAGTAGAAAAAAGCTGAATTTCCCGCTTACGAGTCTCCCCCTCTCTAAAAAAGCAGTTTTCTGTTGATTCAGCCTTTTTATTTTCTCTCTCCAGAAGCCTTTCTTTCCGGTTTTAACGGTACAGATGACTTGCCTCGACCCTTGAGCCGTGTACACTGTACACACACGATACTACACACACTGCTGCAGTGTACTTGGTGTCTCTCCACTCTCTTTCTCCACTCGCGTCGTGCGTTTAATGGGTAATGTCGGTTCTCAGAATTCACTCTCCTCAAATTTACTAAAATGTCCCTGGAGACTGAATTCAATTTACTAGTGTTCTTCTTTGGTATGTGTCTCTTTCCAATTTAACATTGCCACAGTATGAGCTTAAAGTCGCGGTAAAATTTCCCAAATTGTCTCTGACCTCAGTGTCTGTCTGTATATTTAGAGTATCAATATTGATATTTAATTTTCCAGTTTAGCTTTCATCTTTTGGTCACATTTGTGTGCTCAATTAATGGTTTTTTTTGTTGTTTCAGGTTGGAAGAGGTTGAGCCTTTGAATGAACATGCAGTGGCTGACCCAGAGGAGGTTGCTTCCATGGTTGAAATGTAGGTCTTTTTTTCTCTCTCTCTAAAATTGGGTTTGTTCATTGAATTTACAGTTTAACCCATCACTAGAAATCTCATGGGTTTCATTGATAGTGGATTATTTTGGGTGGTTAGAGTAGTTCGTGCTGTGGGCCTTAGTACTACCCTTTTTGATATCAGACCTACCCCTCAAGCCCACATTTATTATGTTTGAACTTTGGACATTATTGAATTTTCACATTTATATACCTACTCATTCTGGTATTTCAATTCCCTTCATACAATTGTACAGACGTATATGTTTGGGCACCACTGGAATTGTTTGATTGGAACAACCCCCTGTTAGTTAAGAGCATCAAATTTAAAGTTGACGTAGTTTAAACTTTAAAGGTAAAAGTTATCCAGTGAGACATAGTTTTGCATTAAAAGGGGGTAATTATATCAACAATATGTTTGTTTATCATGTGGGTCGGTGTATTTACTTAAATCTGAAAAGTTTTAATTTGAATGTGTACGCATGTGCATGTGACAAAAGTAACACGATAGGTGCAATTACTTTTCAGACATGTATCTATTGGTCCATTGTAGAATATTTTGTGTGACCATTTGAAAAACCATATATTGTATACGACCTTGCGAATACAGGTCTTTATCTTTTAATTGTGACAGCTTCACCATGTGCTAGCTAAAGAAAGACAAAAGTGCCTCCAACTTTGTAGCTATTAAAATCAACAAAATATGATCCCGTTGCACTAAATACGCCAAATTTAACTTATCAAAAGGAAAAAATATAAAAAGACCAAATTGCCCTTGTAAAATGACCCAATTTGCCCTTGCAGTATGGATGGTAAGGAAGTTTAGGGAGAACTCTACAGGGGATAATATTACCTCTACGGACACAAAACAGTAGCAATAAGTCCTCCATTTTTGTATCTGTACTATTGTACTGAATAACAACAGTAGATTATGTATGCAGTAAAACAACTAAGAAAACACTTGTTCAATTCCAATGGAGATATTTAGATACTATATATCACTCTACATTTTCTGTTTGTGTTATGACGAAACAATTGAAATGAAAATGATGGCAAAGTAGTCTCAGTCGCATTTCTTTTGATTGAGCAGGAGCATCAGAAACAGCACTGAGAGGAGGAAATTGGGCTTTTTCTCGTGTGGAACCGGTAATCCCATTGATGACTGCTGGCGTTGTGACCCCAACTGGCACAAGAACCGCAAGCGCCTTGCTGACTGCGGCATTGGTTTTGGCCGCAATGCAATTGGGGGCCGTGATGGTCGCTTCTATGTTGTTACCGATCCCGGTGATGATGACCCCGTCAACCCCCGGCCAGGCACTCTTCGACATGCTGTCATCCAGGACAAGCCTCTCTGGATTGTGTTCAAGCGCGACATGGTGATACGTTTGAAGCAGGAGCTCATCATGAACAGCTTCAAGACGATTGATGGACGTGGTGTCAATGTCCATATTGCTAATGGAGCGTGCCTCACAATTCAGTTTGTCACCAATGTCATAGTTCATGGCCTTAACATCCATGACTGCAAACCCACTGGGAATGCCCTGGTCAGGAGCTCACCATCCCATTTTGGCTGGAGGACAATGGCTGATGGTGATGCCGTTTCCATTTTCGGGTCAAGTCATGTCTGGATTGATCACAATTCTCTATCCAACTGTGCTGATGGCCTTGTTGATGCTGTCATGGGCTCAACTGCCATTACCATTTCCAACAACTACTTCACCCACCACAATGAGGTCTGTTTACTGTATTTTCCCCCCGCATTAGTTGGTTTCACTTAATTCCCTTAATACTGGACGACTAATATTGTTACATATGTAATAAAACACAGGTGATGTTGTTGGGGCACAGTGATTCTTATACAAGAGACAAGCAAATGCAAGTTACTATTGCCTACAACCATTTTGGAGAGGGCCTTATTCAGAGAATGCCAAGGTAATAATACATCATTTGAGCTTTCATATCAATTGTTTGTATTTTTGCTTTTAACCCTTTGTTCCAACATAGGTACTGTCCTAGGATAAAAAATGATGTTTACGCACTAAATAATGTAATCAATATGGCATATTCGTGTACTAAAAAATTGAAACATGAATTCATGCTTCAAAATAGTTCTTACCAAGAGGGCCAGGCACACTTCTTTCTTTCCATTGTTTGGTATTGTTTCAACTTAACATCCATTTTTTTGTATGCTGAAATGAATTCGATTCACAAAAATGCAGGTGCAGGCATGGTTATTTCCATGTGGTGAACAATGACTACACACACTGGGAGATGTATGCCATTGGTGGAAGTGCAAGCCCCACCATCAACAGCCAGGGCAACAGATACCTTGCCCCAACCAACCCCTTTGCAAAGGAGGTACCCTTCAACTAATAGCCCTCCTAGCTCTGTCTTGATTATGCGTAAATTTTTTAATTTCACAGTAAGGTTGAAATATTGAAATTTGTGTGATTGCTGATAATGGATTGGATTGTGAGCAGGTGACAAAGAGAGTGGACACAGATACAAGCCGGTGGAGGGGTTGGAACTGGAGGTCAGAAGGCGACATGATGCTTAACGGAGCCTATTTCACTCCATCAGGAGCCGGAGCTGCAGCCAGCTATGCCAGAGCTTCAAGCCTGGGAGCCAAGTCTTCTTCCATGGTTGGCTCTATTACTTCTGGTGCCGGTGTTCTTGGCTGCCGCAGAGGTCGCCAGTGCTAGCAACCCCCCTCAATTACCATTTAAGAAAAAAAAAAAAAAAGTGTCCCTTTTTACTTTTCCTCTGTTAGCTTTCCAATTTCACTATTATATAGCACTATCCTATATCCATATTCCACCATTGTTTGTGATTTCTTCATTTCGGCAAGTGTACATTTTTACACATGTCGTCATTCATAGCACCAATTGTCTGCCTGTCTCTCCATTGTTGCGCAACCTCCGCCTGCTTCTTCAACTGAAAAAACAACTTCCATTTCTAGGAGCTGGTGCGGAAGCGTTGTCCATCTCTCTGTTTTTTTTTTTTTTTTTTTTTTTTTTAATCCTTATTTTGTCATCTCACTCGTACCTTTCATCTTCTAACCATCATCTGGTTGTCTTCTCAGTTGTGGTCTCAGTATCTGGTGCTACTACATATTGTGTTGGCTTTGAGCTCCATAGGAACTGAATGATTTCTTTTTGTTTTTTTGTTTTTTACTTTTTAGCTCCATTGAGTTAAATACAAAAGTTATAGTGTGAATTTCAAACTCAAAGTTTGAGTTAAGAAAAAACTTGTGTTATAGATGATGATGCATAGCAAGCAAAGTTCTTCTTTGCCTTTTTTTTTTTTCCTCTTATTTTGTCTGTCCTTTATCAATGGAAGCAATTTAGTCCTTTTGGTTGTGAAATGTGATCACTTTTATATATACATATATTAGTATGAACACCACATGTTCATGTGTTTAGTCTTTTCCTTGGTAACAATTGTGATTATTATGTCATGTGCACAAAGCAAACTAGCATTAACTGGTATGATATGATGTGGGTTTTTAGTGTTGATGGCATGGGCCTACCAAAAATGATAAATTAGTAGTAAATGGTTTGAAAACCTTTTTTAAAGTTAGGTAATTGCCTCAACTTTTAAAATGATTGGTAAAATACAGAGCAGAGAAGAGAAGGCATAGGATCCTGATTTGTACAGTTGATTCCAATGTCAAATGTATAGGAAGGTCGTTTGGCTACAATGAGAATGTCACATGGGAAAATCTCTCCAAACAGAGCCCCATTCATTCATTATAGGGAAATGAAACCAAATCTTCGTATAAAGTCATTTCAAATCCACTAGAAACCACATCAAAGATGCTGAATCCGATTCCCTGGGAGGTCTATATGGTCCTTACAACTACCTTCTTATTATTATTATTATTATTATTATTATTATTATTATTATTTTTCTTGAGGATATACACATTTTCTGGTTGGCCACATTATGAATTGACTCTTCCCGGCATTACCTGATCATACATATGATTTGCAGATTTTAGTGAAATCGTTAGATAAGGACAATTACTTATAAACCATACATATCATTTAAATTCAGATATGAGATATTTTTATGTTTTGTGAGAGTGGAACTTGAGGAAGACAACGTTGATGGCTATGTGAATGGATAATTAACAAATTGAAAATAAAAAATTGGGACCGGAGGGGATACGAAAGCGTAATTCACGTGGAAGATGGAAGGAAACACAGAGCTCTGCATGTGAGGATGGCCCATAGGGCATGTGAGGCATTCTTCCCCAACTCAATAATATAATATATATGGGGCCATTTGCATATATTTTGCCAGCTTGCACATTTTATATAGATAGACATAGTTATATATATGTACGTATATGAACCTCACTAGTCACTAGAGCTGTCACCTTCATGGCACCCTCAGAATTGACCATATGGTATGGGCGTGGCACTGTTCTCTTCACCTTCGTTGGTTGTGGCTATTATCCCTTTCACACCAAACTTCAACCATGGAAGTAAATCTACATTCACATGTGTATATTATATATTATATATATAGACACATACAGTACATGTTAGAATGCAATACATCATAATGGCATGGTTCTGAACTGTCAGACAAGATGATATGAGATGTTGGTTTCGATTATCACGTGTGATGATGGTGCATGGCAAAATAATTCATACCACCAGAATAAAACTTTGGGGGTGAAAAACAATGATTAATGCTCTCTTATTTTTATTTTTATTTTTATTTTTATTGTTAAAAAGACATACCATCGTGAGAGGTGGAGTAAAATTTTCAACTTTCAATTCCAATCTCATTAAAACAAGGAAACTTACTTGTATTGACCTTAGTGTCCATAATCAAAGAGCAAATAGAAACGAAATATGATGGTAAGATTTAATTACCAAGGAACTTAGTTTACCAATTAACTACTGTAAAAACTTTCTATATGTAGGCCTCAAATCTCACGTGAAATGTAGCACACATATATAGCATGACAAGTCAAGATGGTTCAACCTCGGTGTGGATTGGGGTAGACTGATTGTCATGAACAAGTACATGTACTTGGTTAATTATTTGTTACTCCTGTTTACCAATATTCTTCATTTACTAGTTACCTTACGTACCTCATAAAATAAATGAACCTAAAGAATGCTCCTCCCAACATTATTGAACATGGCCCAAGTTAGGTTTGTCAGTTTCCGGATCTTCATCTTTTGTGCGTGTGTCCAGAATGGTGGCATTCTTTTTCGAACACACCATAATGCATTACGGAATGCATACAATCCTCTCGTCTCACATACATTGGGCTATTACCTAAAAAAATTCATTAGCTGATATCTGCCGGCTTCTTAATTTTGTTGGCACTGTAAATTAGATTAAAATAACATAAATTTTCCACTCAAAATCGCTGATAGTTTTCTTGACAAATTTTGGGGTTTCTCTTACAATATGATTGCTCTCTCTCTCTCTCTCTCTATATATATATATATATACACACATATATGTGTGTGTGTCTGTGTGTGTATAGGGCTATTCTCTTTCTTTGGTACTAGAGGCGTGGCATGTGTTACACTCATCACTCATGGTGCATGTCTTGACCTTGTCTTTCCTTCCACTTTCCTCTGACTCAATTATTTAATTCCTGTAGCTTCCCTTTTTACTCAATTTTAGTGATTTCTTATTTTATTCTGTCGTCACTTCTGGACAAAATCATCTCCCCTAACTAAAGCTAGTTAATGAGCAGGTAAAACTTTGTGTTCATAAATTACATAACACTCACATGCAAAGGAAATTGCAAGGTAATTTCCCAAAAGGAACAAGTAAAGAAATTGCAAGGTTAGACTATAAAATAGATATAAAGAACACCAGAAATGATTTGTCTTCGAATACTACAACAACAACAAAGCCATAACCTCAGTCAAACAACATGTTATCACATCCTTCTTTACGAACTCTACCCACGTCAACTTTAATTATCCTCTTCCCCGAGCATAAATAAATTATCTTTGAATAATAGTATAAATCTGTGACACTAAGCTTATGGCAGTGAAATGTCCACATTCTCTTCTATCCTTCACTTGTTTAGCATGTCTTTTGCAATACTATTACATACCAAAAAAATTAATGAGGGTAGAGAGTCCCATTATCATGTTAGACTGCTGCAGTAAATGCAATAGGTGCATGTTCATGCATATACAACAAACACTTCACCTGCAAGGCTTGCTGCATATTAAAGAAGCCCCACTTTGGGACATTAAGGAACACAAAGGACAAGTATGACCATCAATGGTGTAACGTTACCACCACCAGTGGTGTACTTTTGAGTCATGAATGCACACAAAGAAAAAGTATGAATACAAAGGAAAAGTATGATCACCAAAGGTACTGATATGGGTGCTTTCAATAGTGTCAACAGAGCTTTGATTGAACACCAGCAACGTAAAATGATAAGTTCTTGACCTATGTATTCCCACACCTCATGATCCATAAATATTACAGAAAGGACATTCATTTCGGTGCAGTTTAAGGAAGAAAAATCAGAAAAAATCATGCATATGAATGGGAATTAAATGTAGAGGCAAATATTACTGTAATTTTACCGATGAACAGGGCTCAATAAAGTAAGAGAAATAGGGTAGTTTTATGGTCTTTTGACTCTTAAGTTTTGCATTAAAAGTAACTATAGGTATTGCGTCACGAATATTCTTTCTTAGGTATTCCATTTCTTTTCTTAATTTCCTTACACAAAGAAATAGGAAAATATACTCCAATATATACTTTTCTTGACACCAGTAGAGAAACATGTAAGCATCAACACCATTGACAAGAGCTTGTAACTGTTAAATAGTGCAAGACAACAGCAAATAGCTCACTCTTAAATAGAGGGGTCCATTAGGAAAGTGTATCCAGCCTCAGCAAAGTGGGATTTCACCAGTGCAAGAGCCTTGGAGCGGTGAGAAATTTTGTTCTTTTCTTCCTTGGGCATTTCTGCGTAACTACAATAGAAACAACAGTTAGCTGTGTTGAGTTCGTACCAGCATATAGAGCCTACTACAGAGTAAAACAAACAAAATAAAAAAGATGGGTTTACATTTGATCATATCCATCAGGTTGAAAAATTGGATCCCATCTGAAATCCTTGGGTCCCCGAACAATCTTCCACTGTAATGTCAAGCTGTCAACCATAAGTCAATGTTAGTGCTACGAATTTGAATATTAGGTTCCGTGCAACATTACATTTTTTAATCTTTCTATTCTTTACATACAAGTACAATTTCCAAATTTTGAAGAATTAAAAGTATTAAAAGTTTAATCTAAAGAGAAAGCAAGTAAGAAGTATAGACACTAGCAATCGTCTTGCCAAGTTAAACGTAACCGTACATGAAAAGAGAAAAAATAAAATACTAACAGCTCATCAAATTCATTTATTATCATCTTCCTTTGAGGTGACAATATGCTATTGAGCTGATGGGGTAGGCATACTTCACAAATATAAAGGCCCTGTACTCCTGTCCTATAAAGATTCATAATGGAGAGTCATATCAGGTAACTCTAAAATTAATAAACCAGACCCCTGGTTTTATCCAAAACTCACCTACATGGAACTATTCCATCTTGACTATTGTTCCATCAGAACATATTAGCCCTAAGAGATCATGCGTGCCATTGATGTATCTCTCTTGTATCATCCATAACTACCACTTCAGGTAGAAAAGTAAACAACTCACTACTGGTAGTTTAGAATATCAATTATGTGAGGTCTTCCAAAATACTTAGAAAAGTTCATTAACTGAAGTAGTATTAATTCTAGCAATTGATCACTGGAACAGAATTGAATTTCCTTGGGTAACGGCTAATGTTTAGTCCGTTATCTTAGGCTATTTATATTGCACGGGTTTTTCGGCCGCTTGTTTGGGCCTCATTGTATTGGGTTTGGGTTAGCCTTTGAGGCTTGGGTTACCAGATTCTGGTTTGTTTTGGCCAAAGGCCCTTCATGTATTCTTCTTCATTCTCTACAATTTGCTTAATCTTTTGGGAAAAACAATTCTAACAATTGCCTGACATGTTACTTTTAAATGATAACAAAGTAAATGTTTTACTCAATGTCCGCAGCCACAAAGTCCAGTTAATTTTCCATCTCTGGAGAAGGCAACAACATAATTTTCATCAAAAGCACATAAGTTTGACGTCTGTCTGGACACTTGAACCAGGACTTTAGAGAAGTTGAGGGTTTTAATTAGGAGGTAATAAATATAGCCCGGGATATAAAAACTACAAAGGATCACTTAAGAGCACTCTGTTAGTTAGGATTTTGCTCCATTATGATATTATCAAACTTGAAATGAGAAAGCCTACAACTGACTAACAAAAGTAGCCCCTAAATGATGTTTCAAGGAAGAAACAAGTTTCAAACAGAATCAACTTGAAAATATGTTGAGCTTCCAAGGTTCTGACTGGTTCTTCGAAGTAAACTAATATTTTGTCGTTTTAATATTTTCTAGGAAATAAGCATCATTTTTGTCCAAATTTATGGTGAAGTCTGCCATTGTCTTTTCATCATAAGATACAGTTGTTCTTTTGACTTTGGCTGGCAGAAAGGCAAACCAAATTCTGATCAAATAACCAGAGACTAACTTTTAATTTAGTCGGACCCCCAAAGCAAGAGGGGGTGCTAGCAAAGGAGCATCGATTTCTAGAAGTGGTTGACCTTTCCATGCAAAAATCCAACAAAGCTAAAAATGCAATCGTGGGCATATAAAAAGCTACCACTGACCTAAACCAAAATGTCTATTGGAACATTTCAGGTAACAGCCAAAGTGACATGGGAAGGATGAGGATAAGGTTTAGGAAGGATTTGGTTATAGAATTTTCAGGTCATTCTTTGTTTAAGGATCCTTTCAGGGTTTTTTGCCCTTTTTCTTTTATATACTTAAAGCATAAGGATCCTTTCATGCATTACTCAAAGTATCATGGAAAACAAGTTGCGCTTCAATAGGAAAGTATATTTCAAAGAACAATAAGTGCATAATCCAATTTATGTTCTGCCTATGCAGGTCACTAAGAGAAGAAGACTGGAAATCGACCTTTGCACAAAGCGACTATTCTCATACTAAAAGCACAATGTGACGCTGGCAATCCTAACTACCATAAATGGAAATAATCTATTGCCAAATTCTAATTATGTCATTTCTACCCTAAACCCCTAATATAATTTTTATAACTTGGATGCTACAATTGGTGTTGTGAGATTGTTTGGATACCAAAAATGGCAGGATTATAATTTTATGCACTTACTACTGCAACATAAATTGAATATTATGTTGCAATTAACAATATAATATTCAATTAACAACTGCAATTAACAAGCACTGAACTAAGCAAGTTCAATTATATTGTCTTACATGGGGATTATTCTTAATTGTAGCAACATTCTTAAAGAAACATGAAAGGAAAAGACGTGTATACATATAAATATTTCTTAACTGAGGGTAAAAAAAAGGGCTTATCTAACTTGTCTAATGACACTTCTTGAGTTATATATTTTAGAAACATAGGACCCTACTGTGGCAGCCCAAAAAATTTTAAAATCCCTAAAAATATAGCATTCCTATAAATAGTTGTTTGAAACACAAAAAAGTAATTTAAATGTTCACCCTCCCCCCACCCCAAAAAATAAAATTATAAAAAATAAACCCTAAAAATATGGCTTTCCTATAGATAGTGTGCTTGAAAACATAAAATAAAAAATAAACATGGACTCCCTAAAATTTTGCAAAACCTTCATATTATAGCCTTTCAATAGTGAGCTTCAAATGAAATCTTTTAGGCTTTACTTTTGAAAGCCCACATTTGGAGATAAAGGTCTAGAAAACCCACTATATATGTGTGTGTGTGTGTGTATTTCAGTAGGTAAATCATACAAACACACACTAATTTGTACTCGCGGTCTTCCATTTGGAAGGAGGAGATACCACTTCGGTAAGACCCTTGGTGGTAAATTGAAAAAAATGTCTACAAAATAATATTGCTAATCTCTTTATTCAAATACACACACACACACACACACACACACACTAAGACACCATTTGTAAAGACAAATATGTTACTTTATAAATATGTATATAGATATTTATCTAAATAGTCCCCTCCCCCACCCCACACACCCCCCCCCCCCCCCAACCCAAAAATAAAAAAAAAAATCTTGGATCCACACCTTATAGAGTCATAGTCTAGTCTTGAAACAAAGTTGTGATATTGATATGTGCAAAAAGTATATAGGATTAAACTCCTACATATCTTATATTACTATCCATGAATAGCACACCGGAAGTACATACCATAGTTTTTTCCTAGGAAAGTTGTTGGATCTGCATTTGGCCCAAGAGCAAAAGAAAATACACAAACAGTATAGGCTGATTTATCCTCATATGCCATCAACAAATTGTTCAGACCTACAAAAAATGACAGGAGCATTAGGAACAATAAAAGCAGGGCAGGCACCAATGTGAATATCAAAAGATAATAAAACAGATAAGAGAAGGAACTAAAGAAGCAAAAATAACAACCTTCATGACCAATCTTCTGCAGAAACCACTTGCTGCATGATTCCATTTCCAATTTAGTAAAATCCACGAAAGCTAAAGCAAGAGGATGTTAAGATCAGACAAAGGAGAGAGATACTGAGATACCAAACTAATAAGAGAAAGGTCAGCAAGATAATAATTGTTTAGGTTTATCGGCAAAAGGAGCTAGAAATAATTGACACATTGGTTTCTCTCTTTATGAGAGGTTATTATAAGCAATTTCTTCCCACTTCGATAACATTTTGTAAGCAGAGGCTTATCCAGAAATTTATACTGAGGGAGGGAGTACAAGAAGTCCCATGCATACAAATGTACATCTATTTTGGCATATATAATATATAAAAATGGACAAAAAGATTTATGCAATCATAATGGTGTATTGAATCAAGAAACAACAAGAGCTTGATTAGGTTGGTCATAACTCAATTTGCGACGTCTACCCTGATGTTATAATGGATTCACAAGCAAAAGAATAATCTGAAAAGCATATTCACCTCCTAAAGGTGGTTGTCCAGAATGGGCAAAGAATACAATGCGAAAAAAGGGATCAGAGATTGCTTTGATGCCTTCATATGGAATCACATAATTTATGTTCTAAGGTGATAGGTAATCCCGTTTGAATTCTTTAAATCTAATGAAAAAAAAAAAACCCATAATGAGGTACATATATAAGGCCACTGATACAGGCTCAGCAAAAGAAGCAATCATAAAAACGTTTGACAAAAATGAAGATAAGGAAAAAAAAAAAAAAAAAAGAGGGGGGGTTCTTAAAAATCATTGACACGAGATTGAAGTGTCAAACTAATCACCTTTTGCATGCAGTTGGTTACTTCCAGAACCCATATTTTTCTATGACAACCCAAGATAGATTTGATGAGGAAGTTAGAGGGATTGTAAGCTTGTAAGCAAGATCAGTTCCAACGTTTGTGGAGCTTAGCAGGAAAACAGTATTATGAAACTATAGGATATCAATCCAACACAATTACTCACTTAAAAATTTAGATTCTTGCTTCATTCAGATGAGTGTAAAACCTCAGGTAATACAGATTCTTAGGGCATTAAGGGTGCTTTTTACTACTACTATGTATTACTGAATATCATTGTTCTTTCTTCAACTTGGTCTAAAAGACTCACTGAATAAGATTATGTATAGAGATATGCTCTAGTTTCCAACACCAGACTGATTGATTTATGCCTTTGACCATTATAACTAGAGTAGCACTTTCACGACTAGGAGATGGTGCTGAAAGGAGGACAAGAAAATTTCAAAATTAGAAATCTTACAGCTTAGTGAAGAAGTGACAATAACAGCATCATCAAGAGGTTTCTAAAAAGTTGTCTTCCTTAAAACTTTCTCTTTGATTTGCATAGTAATTTTAAAAAAGCTCCAAATGAGGTGTATACAGTTGACTGATCTTATCATTAATGGGATACCTTAACCATGCTTAACGAATGGTAGCTACTTTATTGTTCGAGTTGAAGAAATTGTAAAAAACTTGGCTGCCATTATTTAACCCCCAACCCCCTCTCTCAAATTTCACGAAATTGGACTGAGCTGCAGGAAATCTGATGGAGGGTGTGGAACATATTTCCTATGCATGGAGTTTTTCCACAAAATACACCTATTGCAAATGCTGAGCTTATATGGTACTATTTTTTATACTGAAATTCAAACTCAAGTCTAAACAACATCCTTAAACCTTTCCACCAAAAAAAAAGAAATGGATTCAAAGTATAGGGAAAACAATTCTTGCAGCAAGCAAAACGAGCCCAGCTAAATCCATGACAGCAGAATGGTAATTACCTTTCCTTCAAGCTTAAAGGACAATAATTCATGCTTTCTCTAAGCATCAACATAGTTTCAAATGAGCATGTTGAATTTCTACTCATTAAAGATAGGTTCCATGTGGATCAAAAGAAAGAAACATCAAATAAACTAGCAGCTTAGGGATCATAAGACAATTGTTGATTTTAATTATATTTGAAAGTGAGCATGCATTAGTTATTCCTAAAAACTATAAAAATAAAATGAATAGAGACACTTCTCAAAATTCTAAACCAAAAATGCATAATATGCTAACACCTAAAATTTGTAGAACAATTAGGACGTTAATAAATTTTGTGCACAAACTAAAATTCCGATAGGCTAAAGCCCGAAATCACATCTACTTCGAGTTATGTGATATTTTTTTATTCTAAGGAGATGAAACATGACTTGTTAGCATGATTAAATCATTTATGCTTTCTTTTCTCAATCAAATTACACAATATGCCATTCTTTATTTTCTTTCTTTTAAGAGTCATTAACCTACTTGATACAAAATGAAAAATAAAAATAACAATAATAATAACCCCATATATGAATAGCACGATAAGTAGAACTAAGAATAAATTTAGAAAGAGAAAAAGAACTGCACCTCGAGAGGGCAAGAATGAAAAAGGAACTTATATGTGCCCTGTAAAATAGTTTCAAACAATCAAACAGGTCATTATTATGAATAAAAAAGCCCAAAATTAAGAATAAATACATGGGAGACCATTAAGGGCATTACATTAGAGGCAAGCGTCTTCCACCAGCACTGGCCCTTTCACCTTCGCAATCCCACAAACAGAAAAATATGTGAGTGTGTGTCTATATATATATATATATATATAGATATAGAGAGAGTACCTCTTTTGCAGCCAATCGAGTCTTTTCTTAGGATATCTTCAGGTTCGCCTTACAGTTCTGGCACTGAAGAAAAAAAAGCAGAATACGAAAATGGGTGAGTGAGAAACATACAAAAAGATGGTTCTATAGAGAGAGGGTGTACTACAGTCTGCATAGAAGGAGAACACTCGAGCTTGAGGCACTATTCCCCAACTACCAACTCGCCGCCGTCATTTCCCCGCGCTTTTCTCCCACCGCTGTCAAATAAAATCATAGATTTTGACGCAAAATCGAAGGAGGGTTTAGGGTGGAAAAGGAAAGCCAAACAAAAACCCTTTTCTTTTTTTTTTTTCTTTTTCTTTTTTCTTTTCACGAGAGTTTAGGGTGGTGGAATGGGAAAGCCAAAGTTGCAAGTTGAAATAAATGAAAACTCAAAATGACCTTTTTATCCCTTAATCATTAAAAGGAATAAAAAAAGAAAAAAAAAAATCCCTTAATAATTAAAATTGCTCAAGTGTTTAAACTTGTGTTTGTCCCCTTTTTTTCTCGCACACACACAGATGTATGAATTTAAGGGTGTACAAAAAAATCTGTTGACCCCTAAATTAAATTGGATCAAACCAAATTGGTATGTTTGGTTTGATTTTTTCATGATTCGATTTAGTTATGGTTTCAAAAATATAGAACCGTTTATACATGGTTCGGTTACAAATTGAGATTCTACAAGGTCAAACCAAATCGAACCGAACCGTTTCATATATATATATATATATATATATATAATTTAAAATATATACTATATATAATATAGTTTTTTATTATATATATATTATGATATATAGTTGAGTAGTTAAAAGGCTAATTTTATTATTATATTATTTATATAATACAATATATATATATATATATATATATATATATATATTAGATGGAATTCTAAAAAAAAGCTTAAAACTGTGGAACCGAACCGAATCGAACCAATCCGTTTTTTCACGGTTTGGTTCCATTGGTTTTATGATTCGGTTCCAATTTTTATGGAACTGTTACGAATTGTTTGATTTCAAAATATTCTCAAATCGGTTCAGTTCGAATGGTGTCCAACCTTATGTAAGATGGAAGAAGTCCTTTTTATGAAAAAAAAAAAAAAAAACGGAGCACCAATTGGCGAAGTTGAGATCCTCAAACTCTATACTTAGACCAGATTTTTTTGTATCTTTTGGAACCTTCTAGTTCTTCCTATTTGACCCGAAACAAGTATGGAGAATATATAATGAAGAATACTTAGGTCCTCACTAATCACGGATGAATAAATAAAAGTAAAATCTATTTCATCTTTGAATGACATTATAACCTTTTATTTTTATTGACCACATAATGTGTCATAATAATAAAATTGTGGTGAGAATGGTGCAGTCCTTATCCGAGAACCTAAGTATTGTCTATATTATTATTATTATTATTTTGTAGGTAAGTAATTGTAGGAGTAGACAAATAATTCGTGAATCTGATCCGATCCGTTCTAATTCATGCGAATTGGATCTGATTGTTACACTCACGGATTGTTGACGAATTAAAATTAATATATATATATATATTAAAAGATTGTATTAAGTTAATTAGTTAATGACCATGTAATGGAATCTAAAAATACATTAACTAATGATTATTTAAATATATGAGTGATATATATATTTTTTGTTTTGTTGGCATGCAGATGCCCTGCCTTGAAAAATTTGACGTTGGAGACGTTAAGGCTTCGAAGCACTGCTGATATGGAAGCAATCCTTACCCAAGTCATTAGTTAAGGGTTTGTTTGTTATCTACTTTGTTTTAGTGTTTTTGTTGCAGGTTGGGTACTGTAGCTGAAAAAGTGGGTTGCAACATGTTTGGTAGTGGGCGGATTGTTTTACACAGTATCAAAACCTTTCACAAATTAGGCCAAAAAATTGAAGCAAGAAATTGGTGTTTTTGGATGTTTCAATATTGTAGCGGGCCAAACACAACTGTAGCGGTCGAAACAAAATTAAACTACTTGCAACATTTTGGCCCATGTATAAAAGCAAAAGTTAAAATATTGTAGTTCATTTGGCCCGAAAATTTCTCTCTCCTATGAAGCCCTAAGCTCTAGCGATTTTGGAGGCGACCTGTGATATGTGAAGAAGAGGCTCAATTCATAGTAGTGTAAGTCTTTGAAACCCTAAACGTTTGATTTAATGTTTTTTTAAGTGTTCTTCGGTTTCGATTTGTTCAATTTTGTCTTCGTGAATAGAGGGCGTCGATTTCATTAACTCATCGATCACCTGGAAATCTCTCCTTGCCTTCTTCTCTGCTCGAGGTCTCCACTGGAACCACCGCCGCCGACGCCGACGCCCTCATCATCGACGGCAAGCTCTCCAAACTCCGAACCAAGCGTGTGTTAGCCTAAGGCCTTACCATTTTCCAGCGTGTTTAATATGTTTGTGTTTTTTTTTTTTTTTTTTTTTTTTTTTTTTTTTTCTGAGTTAGTCTTGATTCTTGAAATTAGTCCAAAAGAGTTCTTGAAATTAGTTCAAAAGAGTTGAAATTATTGTTTAAGTGTTAGGAAATTCCTCTGTTTGGTTGCTGAGAAAATCTTTGCAATAAGATAAACAAAAAAATTTAATCTATTTATCCACTAAGTTTTTTAATCTATTTAATCCTACTTAAATGGTATTTAATGTATTAAACAACAAAGAAAACCTACAAGTATAATACAAATTACATAAAAACATCTAATGTGAAGAGCTTCCCTAAAAGCTTATTTCAAGGTGTAATTGAATTTCTTAAGTGAAGCATGCTTAAAGATAATTATCATAGTGTCATTGTTGTTCGGTTGCCTTTCATATCAAAAATTATTATACTGAAAATTTGTTGTATAGAAGTCAAAATAGTGCCATCTTTGCTACAAAATGGATTTAATGCTCTTTCTACCAGAAACTCCATGGTTTTGTTGTTATTTAGGAATTTCAGGTCTTGAGAGTGATATAAAGTCAGACAATTCTCTTGATCTTAGTTTGAAGACATTAGACAAAATGAGAAATATAGAAGCACTAATACTTAATTTTCTTGCTAATTTGAAAATTATTTATATGAATTGTGTAGTGTAATTGACATAGATTTAATGGGATAATTCACCACATGGCCAAGGTAATAAAGGGACGATACTGCGTACTAATGGAGACAAATTGAGGGCCTGTTTGAATGCCATGTAAATTATGGTTGTGGCCATCCAAATTCAAGGGACAGCCAATCAGATTACCTGTTGGTTCTAAGGTTGCCTTATGGGGATTTTCTTGTTTGATCTTTTAATACTTGGGAATTATCGTGTCATTAGTTTCATCATTCCACCTCAATCATTGTGATTTTATTCATTAATTATTTATACTTGTTCAAATTATATGTGAATCACAAATATTTAATGGCAATTTTCAAATGCTTCATAACCAGTGAAAATGGAAGAGAATATTACAAAATGGTGGCATTTATTATACTTGGTATAATTCATTGTTGTCATAACTTTATGTGGACAATTGGCTAATATTGTTGTGCTACTCTTTTGCATATGATTGCTGCTGTGTAATGGGACTGCTATGATCAAATTCATTTTGAGGTTATCTTCTCAAAATACTGAGAAAGCTTTCATACTGCAAGTTTCTAAAGATAGATGATGCATTTTGGTTGAAGAAAAGTCTTTGCTATTGTTGTGTATCAAGGATGCTATCCCAAGTTTTTCATCCTTGTATTTCCATAGCTAAAGACCTTATAAATGGCATTCTGGATTCTGCTCAGCTGTATCATCCTTGTAATCTTCATTCTGTATTTCTAGCGTCATCCTTGTAATTAATGAGGCTAGCTCACTTGTATCATCTTTGTAATCTTCAAAAATGGCATTCTGCATTATGTATTTTCACTACTCAGTTGTTTCATCCTTGTAATATTCATTTGTATAACTCACTAGAATTATGCATTTTGCTCTCTCCACAGTGTCTGCAAGTGATTATTTACCTTGAAAGCTTTGTTGTTAGTATATATATTAGAACAGGTGGTTATTATTTACCTTCATAGCATTAATGTTATTACCTTGGTATAATTATAAAATAGGTGGTTGCAAATTAGTGTTTCAAATGCTGTCTTTGCATAGTTCAACTTGTATTAATTCTTATATTTCATCACTTTAAGAAGGCTAAAAAAGCAATAAATGACTTGCAAGTTTAATAAATTTGATGGTTGAATATTTAAGCACTTGTAAATAGTTTACCCTTTATTCCACTTATGTTTGCAGTTGGGTTTTGTTTTTATTTTTAATGTTGTGTTGGACTATACAGGTAATAGGATAAGAAAATTGAAGCAGGTTATTGCAAACAACTTGTAAATAGGTTATTGCAAAAATTAATATATATATGTGTATGTGTGTGTGTGTTTGTATGTTCAAATTTCTTCACATCTATTAAAAATATGATGACTATTTATATAGAAATAAATTTATAAATACACTTAAATTTATAAAAACAAATTAAAAACAATGATAACCTAACATTTTTTTTTTTTTCTGTTTTATATTTTTTTTGGTAACAATTGGAGTGACCAAACATGTTTTATTTTCAAATTTCTTGAAACGCATGACTTATCAAACATGTTTTGCATGTTTCTGCTTCCGACATTTTCACAGCAAAACATCGTTCTCAAATGTGCTTCTGATTTTTTTTCCAAAACACCCCAAAGCAAAAACATTGTTTCTGTTTTAGCCAAAAACAAAACGCCTAAAACAAAACGCATGCCAAACGGACCCTAAGTATTTGGATATAAGGAAGACATGTCTGGAGCTAGACAGTGGCGTAGCCACAGAGGGACAAGTGGGGGCAACTGCCCCCACTGAACTTTTAATTTTTTTTGAATTTTATATGAAAAGATTTTTTATATTTGTATAACTGTCCCCACTAAAATTTGACAGTGCACTTATATATACTATATATATATATATATATATATATATATAACCAAATGACCACTCATGATATTACACCAAAAAAAAGAATATAATCTTTTAAAAAAATATGATATTTTTTTTCAACTTTCTCAAAATATATTATATTTTTTCCCACTTTCTCCAAAAATACAAAATATTCTTTCACACTTTTGACTTTACCACAAACAAATGCGTTGTTTCCTTCACATTTTCAGTCTTCAACACTGTTTTTGGACGAGTCTTCAACATTTCAAAAATTCACAAAATTCAAACTAATACTGCCATGCGGAGACAAGTAATATATATATATATTATCATCATCTAAATTTACGATTATTATGTCATGAATATTTTGAAAACTCGACTGCGCAATCGAATGGAAGACCAAATGGTTGTGTATATTAAGAGAGACATATTTAGTACTGTTAACAATGATGTTATTATTTATGAAAAATCGTTGAGGATAGTTGTGAATGTACTCAATAAAGATATTATGAATCAATGTTTTAATTTTTTCATATATTATTTTGGTTCAAATTATATATATTATTGTTATTAAAAATTACCCCCACTAAAGGAAATTTCTGGCTACGTCACTGGAGCTAGAGGCTGTTGTGAGTATTTTGGAGGGCTGCAAAAAGCTTGTGCATCTCGATGTTAGTTATTGCAATGATGATGAGATATTGAAGTAGTTTTTCATATTCTAACCTTCATGTATGAGGGTGCAAGGGTACTGTCGGAAGAAGACTGTAGTGATGGACGTCATGACGTAACCAACTTTCCTCTCATCATATATACGCTTTCAACAGTGAGTGATGATGTTCGATCATTCTTTGGAACATTATAAAACCTAATGTAAGTGTGAACCGTTTCGAAATTCTAAACTCCTCTCTTCTATATAAGTGTGAACCGTCTCAAAAAATTTTAGAATTGTTCAAAACGGTATAGAATTGTGCAAAATAATTTAGAATTTTCTAACATTGTGTAAGATCATTCTATAAAGCATTATAAAACTTAACATAGAATAATCTTGACCGTTATATCACTGACACGTCTTAGTCATTCTTTGTTTGGCACTGTTATCCTTTTGGGAGTTGCAAACACAAACTCATATATATATTTTGCCTTTTCTTTGTATTGCAATCACAAGTATTCTACATCATTAATTATTTTGGGCAGTAGAGTGATAGTAACAGAGTGCTATAAATATTTATAAAAAAGCAAAAACATGCCCCCAAAGAGCAGAAAATTAACAAGAATCATTCAAAACTAAAATAGGTTTCCCTTTTTTTTGTCTTCTAGTGTATAAGCCTAGACCGAGCCACCCTTCCAAAACTTTGTCCTCCATGTTACTCCCATCTTGGTTACCGAGCAACTCTGAGGTAGGATTTGAACATTTTACATATAAATTTGGACAAATGCTTTAAAATTAAATATAAAACCCAATTAATACAGTCATCACCCTTTTAACAATACAATCATACCAGCATTTATAAATTCATTCATAATAAATAAATAAAAATAATCATACATGCAACCTATATGATAGAATCCTTCAAAAAAATCAAAGGAGAAAAATCACATTTTTTTTTTGAATGATATAAAAAAAAAAAAAAAAAATTACATATAAATGGAGTCAAAGTTTCATATTTACTTAGAGGCTGAGTCAAAATTCCATATTTCTCTAAAATGGATTGCTGAGGTGGCACATGATTTTTTACTGTTTAGAAATTGTGGTGCCTAAAATACCCTTCCGCGAAGGTACTACTTTTTCTTCAAAGGTACTACTTTTTTGAACTGAAGGTACTACTTTTTGGCGTCCAGATACCATATTTTTTAAACACCCGCGAAGGTACTACTTTTTCTCCGAAGGTACTACTTTTTTGAATTGAAGGTACTACTTTTTTGAACTGAAGGTACTACTTTTTTGTTAGGGAAGGGCATTTTAGGCACCATAATTTTCTAAACAGTAAAAAACCATGTGCCACCTCAGCAATCCATTTTAGAGAAATATGAAACTTTGACTCAGTCTCTAAGTAAATATGAAACTTTGACTCCATTTATATGTAATTATCCCAAAAAAAAAATTAATTTCGTCCGAACCCGTTATTAAGTTATGAAATGAAAAAATTATTATTGTGAAATTACGAAAATACCCATTTTCTTCTTTCTCTTAACCCCATCTCTCAAATTAGATCTATGTGGCACACCATTGTCGCCGTGTCAAACCAAACAGAGCCAGGAACTCTCGGACGATGGTGATAAAGTTTTGCACGACCAGGCCTACAATTCTGGCTATAGGACCTAACTACCGGCGGCTGAAGGTGGAGAATCGTGAGGCAGTAAGAATTTCTATTGGTTGGTTTAACCAATCCGGCTGTCTTGGGTCATTGGACAGTTCCCCGATAAACAAATTGATGTTCTTCAATGGTGGGGTTTCAATTTGGAGGATCTACCGAGTGCTTCGGCAAATTAACAGAGGAATTTGAGAGAAAAACAGGCAAGCCTCATGATCTAGCTTCAGCATCGTCAAACTCTATGAACGCCGGCGAGAGCTCAACTACCAATTTCTATAAATTACCTTTCTTCGCTGCATCTCAGCAACCAAAATCCACCAGAGAAATAGATCAATCAGAGGACTTAGATCACAACAGAGAGCCAAAAAGTTGACTATGCATCGCAAGACTAATACAAGATCCTGAGACCTCATGAAGTGACTCAAGCGGATCAAAGTGGCACAAAATCAAGAATTTACAATACAAATTCAACAAACATCTATTAAGTACAAACCCTATCTCTGAAGCCAAAAATAAATTGACCATAACTAATTCGGCAGACGCACTATGTGTGTGTGTGTAAATATAACATATATATATATGCACACACACACATAGCTGATAGAACAAGATGCAAGGTGGGTGGACGTTGACGTTGACAGGGAACATTACAAAGGGTATTTTTGTAATTTTATAATAAAAATATCAATTTTAATTTAATACTAAATCATAAGGTTAATTTTATCATTTGTCATGTATGTGATAACTTAATAACATTTTTTTAATTCAGGAAATGCTTAATTTTAGTGAGATTTTTTTTGAACGAAAATAATAGTAGGAAGGGGCTATTTGATTTTTCTACTATCGTTTGAGGTGGGAGACCATGTTTTTCTACGGGTTTCTCCACGGAAGGGTTTGATGAGGTTCGGGAAGAGTGACAAGTTGTCACCACGATTCATTGGACCATTTGAGATTTTGGACCATATAGGAGAAGTTGCCTACAAACTTGCTTTGCCACCACAAATGGACAAAGTTCACAATGTCTTTCATGTATCGATGCTGTGGAAGTATGAACCAGATCCATCTCATGTTTTGGATTGGATTGACGTGGACATTGATGAAGATGTCTCCTATGAAAAGGGATCAGTGCAGATCCTTGACATACGACAAAAGGTGTTGAGGGGTAAAACAGTGCAGTTAGGAAAAGTTCTTTGGAGGCACCACAGAGTCGAGGAGGCTACTTGGGAGCTCGAACAACAAGTTCGCTCCAGGTACCCAAAGTTGTTTCTTCCCCAGGTATGGCTTGATTTCGGGGACGAAATCCTTTTAAGTTGGGGAGATTGTGACGTTTCCAATTTTCAACATTTTTCATTTTTTCGGTAATTCGTGAGTGCAAGGGCATTTTCATCTTTTCACATTTTGCGTACGGGATTTTAGTTAAGTCCATTTGCATTTCACACATCTTATTTTATGAGTTTTATATGGTATTTGTATGATGATGTGTTACATGTGTGTGTGGTGTGGAAATTAAAGCAAAAAAAAAAAAAAAAAAAAAAAAAAAAAAAAAAAAAAGATAAATGGGTGGGCCCCACCACTATTGTTTAAGTGGCCTAGAGACCACATTTTCATTCCAATTTTCTCTCTCCCCGCTAGTTTTCTTTCTCCCCTTCATTTCCTCTTCATTTTTCTTTTCTTTTTGGAAGCAAGCTTTGATCTTTGATTTCTCTCTCATTTTTTCGAATTTTGGAGTGACGTTTGGGGCAAAATGGAGACCACGACGAGCTCTACACATGAGTAGCAACAATTTCAGCTTTAAGCCTCCCTTTGGATTTCGAATTTAGAGACCCATTTTGAGGGTTTTGCTCATTATTGAGGTAGGGGTCCTTAATCCACGAAGTCTTGTGCTTTAGTGAGTTAATTTACTTGATTTTGTGTACTAACATGCTTAATTGTAGTGATTATAGTTACTTTGACTTGATGGAACATGTATGAATGTATGAGGATGTGTATTAATTTAATTTGTATGATGAGCATGCTTGTATATGAGTTTTTAAGTTTACTATGTTGTTAATATGTAATAAATGATGTATAAGAACATGTTTAATCGTGTTGTGAGAAATCTCTTAGTATTATTGTAATGAAAACATGAGATTCATATGCATAACATTGGGCTTGCATAAAGGGAATCGTTTTGAAAGGAAAAATGGGGACTTTTGGGGAAGAGTTTTGATAAAACGGTTTTATGAAAACCCGGTCGCCGCGGGGGTACCAAAGGGCTGGAGGGTTAATATAGCCTAGAAGGAACTAGGGAGTCGCCCTAGCGTGGTTGAGCTAGCTGGGCCCCATAATAACGCCGCGGGGGTACCAATGGTCAGGGACACTAGCCAATCCTTCTCTCGTGTCGCTGCGGGGTCACCAAAGGGCGGGTTATATTAACCGTTTGAAAGTGATGGTTTTGGAATTAAAATGGGGAGCGACATTGGCATGCATTACATCTCATTGCATTACATTTGGTTATATTGAGAACTGTCGTTATGTTGTGTATTACCCGGACATTGTATGATCCTTATCTCCTATTGTTCTATTCCTTGTATGGATTCACGAGGATACAAGAGGCGTGTCTTAAATGCCTTCTACTGAGCAATTTGATCACCCCAATATATATATATTACATTTTTTTCAGGTCACGGCAAAGAATTGGCAAATGCAAATCCATCACAGGCTTGAGAGAACTTGAAGGGCATTTTGAACGTATTTTGTTGAATTTGAACTTGTTCTGTAAAGCATATGATGTAAAATGTATCAAATTCATTGGTTATGTAACGGATGATATAATTGAAGCTTGAAAATCCATTTTGATGTAAGTTGTCTATGATCTAAAGTTCCATATTAACTTCCCTTCCATTTTCTGTTCATTTACAAGGTAGTAGGTCAGATCAGGATGCAGGGCTCGAAGAAGCCACTTCGGTTGATCAAAATGGCTCATCGGTCGACCGAACCTCTTTGTGGACTCTCGAGATCTCCATTTTGGTCGACCGAAATAGGGTTCGGTCGACCGAAACCTTTTTTTTATGCTCTCGATATCTTAGCTTCGGTCGACCGGTTCAGGAAGGCCTGCTTCGGCCGACCGAAGCTCCATTTCGGTCGACCAAAGTGAGCCTATTTTGGGGTCTTGTCTCTCCTTCTTCCTTGTAGCTCATTCTTGACCCTTGGGTTTCTTAGAGCCTTGGGAAAGTTTGATTTTGATCGGGATAAGCACGTTTTGACACTTGGAATGTTAGGTTTGACGTATATGACCTCGGGTTCGGGTAAGGACCCGGGTAACGGTCCGGATCCCCGGATTTGGGTCGTTACAGGCCACCTTTAACGTGGCGTGACTGGCGTCACCGTGAGTCAAGTCTACTTAACCTGCTTCTAATGCTTCTTTTCAATAGAGCTCCGATTTTCTCAACCCCACTTCTAGTTTTCAGTTTCTAGTTTCTTAGATATATAATTCAGTTTCCAATTTTCTCTCAGGAATAGTTTGCAGATCTATTTTTGCTAGTTCTCAAAATGTCAAAAGGTATTTGTCATTTGCTGCTTCACCCTTTTTGGCTTTGTTTTTAATATATCTATGTGTGTGTTTGCAGATCTAATTTTGCTAGGATTCTAAAAAAGTAAAGTCAAAAGACGTCATGAAAAGATGTTTATTTTAACTCTAGGGGCAGTTATTAAATTTACAGCTAAATAATTTAATTTATTATAAAAAAATAAAAATTTAATACTAACAAAAAATATTTCAGTAAACTTTTTGTTAAATCTGTCACTAAGTAAATACATTATAAGTGAAGAAAAAAAAAATTGAAAAAGGAAAAAAAAAAATTAGGGAAGGAAAAAAAAAATATGGAGTAATTGAAGAAGGGGGATATGTGTAAATTTTTTTTTTTTACAAAAGAAAATTAGAGAAATTTGAAAATTTAATTCAAAATTACCATATATATGTGTGTGTGTGTGTGTGTGTACAGTAAATTGGAGAAAGGTCGGACCCCTCTGACCTTAATTGGCTCCGCCCTGATTAAGATTATTAGCCCTTATAACGCAGTAACACATAGAACCCCATTGCACATTAATTGTTATTCAAACTTGGGCTAGAAGTCAGGATTCATTGGTCCCATTCTCCTAATGACTTCAACTGACTCGGTCAAACCCCATAACCCAATTCAATTAGCCCATCAGAAATTATTAGGGTGCATTTAGTAATGTTTTTATTTTATGCTTTTACAATTTCAAGAAAGCAGAAACATGATTTTGTTTTCTTGAGTGAAAATAGAAAACAAAAATGGCGTTTATTAATACTTGTTATTGCCACAAATTTGAAAATATAAAACAATAACAGTGTTTAGTAATACAATATATTTGCTACAAAATGTAAATAATATTCTTTAAATTTTTTAATTTATTTTTTATTTTTCCATGGCAAGAATTTTTGTAGTTAGTGGTTAGAAGGGAGGGTGAGGAAGAGGGTAGATGACTTGAACACAAACTCTCGGACATAGGGAGTAACCCAACCACTCAGGCACGACACTTGCTTCCATTAATATCAAAAAACCATAAATCTAGAAAATCTAATTTAAAATTTTAAATCTTAAAAATACCCAATACATCATAAATACAAAATTAGATATACCAAGACAAAAATATTTTGACCAATTATGTATAAATACATGTATATGCATGATGTATACATTTATTATGCGATATATAATATATTTAGCATATGATAATTTATTAGGAATAAAAAAATATTAAATAATATATCTTATATGTAACAAAATATATATTGTGTTATAATATTGTAAATTAATTATAATTTAATATTTACATATAATATAATATAGATATGATATATAATAATATAAAATATCTACTGCTTAATAATTTAATAACATTATATTCTATATCAAAAATTATTTTGTCACAAAAAATAATTTACATTATAATTTAATATATTATATATTAAAATATATTTTTATCAAATAAAAATAATATAGAATATTTAATATATTCTATATTAAAAATATATATTTTTTATTAATATTTAATATGCAACTTAGTATATAACACAAATAATATGAATTTTATTTGAAATGAATAGTGCATGTGCAATAACATTAGTGAAACGTTTCTGCGCTATAGTGCCAAAAACATAAGAAACATCATTTTGATGTTTCCTTTTTTCTTCACAAAAATTAAAAACGTTTTCTGTTATAGAAAAACAAAAACATTTTATTGAATGCGATTTTGGTTTTCGTTTTGCCTGTTTAGAGGTTGACAACAGAAAACAAGAAACGTTTTCCGTTACTAAACGCAACCTTATTTCAACCTAATTCAATTAGCCCATTAAAAATTACTTATTTTAACCCAATTCAATTTGCCCATTAGAAATTACTTATTTCAACAAATAAATCAAAGTAATTATCAATTACCTCTCCCATGCTTAAAAATAATTCACGACTTTCTCGAGCATTTTGGCATTGCGTGTCACTGTAACGACCCACTTCACCACATGGTATGATATTGTCCGTTTTAGGCCTGAACCCGCACGGTTTTACTCTTGGGCTTCACCCCAAAAGGCTTCATACCAATTGGAGATGACACACTTACATATAAGCATTTCATTTTTCCTCTACCCAGGCGATGTGGAACTTGTGCACCCGTAACTCGCCAGTGTGGTAGCCTGTTAGTGTCTCTCGCACCCGCCCACGGCACAGCCGCTCACAGGATCATCACAATCCACCCCCCTTGGAGGCACGACATCCCCGTCGGCACACTTCTGGCTGAGTCAGGCTCTGATACCATTTGTAACGACCCTCCACCACATGGTATGATATTGTCCGCTTTGGGCTTGAGCCCACACGGTTTTACTCTTAGGCTTCACCCCAAAATGTCTTATGCCAATTGGAGATGACACACTTACATATTTGCTCACATTTTTTTTTTTTTTTTTTTTTTTTTTTTTTTTTTTTTTTTGTTCTTACTATCAAATTATAATTCTTAAAATACTTTGGGCATTGGTTTGGCAACCATTATTAATCAATTGTTTTATTTTTCCTTTTTATTATAGTCATAAAATTCACATGCAGTTTGGCTTTACTTTGGGTTGATCATATAGATGGAAGATTGAAAATGGAAAGAGCTAAAGATGGATTGTTTGATGAATGTGCTTGGGAAAGCGGGAATGAAGTCCCTGCTATTTGATATTCCCCTATTATACAAGTCATGGTACAATGCAACACTGAATCCTCTGTGCTGGCTGTATCTTGATTTTCTCAACTCCTTCAAATCAAGTAGGATCAGAGAGATTTAATGAGACTGAATTGATTAAGTTTGCTGTCAATCGTAGTGGTGGATTTGCTATTTCAGTAGCTATTCCTTTCTATTTTACGACCGATGCACTTGTTTGTCTTGCAGAAGGGTAAGTTACCAAAACTAACTTCATTACCATAATAAATAAAAATAAAAAGTAAAAATAAAAAAATGTTTGAATTCACAGTGATATATATATATATTTTGTTTTGTTGGCATGCAGGTGCCCTGCCTTGAAATTTTGACGCTGCCATTTGTACCATGGGAAGATACCCCCTTCCCAAGATTAATAAGCAAGTGGAAAAAATTGGAGACTTTAAGGCTTCGAAGCACTGCTGATATGGAAGCAATCCTTACCCAAGTCAGCCTTCATTGCAAGAATTTTGTGGGTTTAGGTCTTTTAAGAGGTGACATTGAGGAAGATGAATCATTGGTTATAGTCAACTTATTGCCCAACATAAAGTATTTGGCTCTAAGGAAGACTTGTCTGGAGCGGGAGGCTGTTGTGAGTATTTTGGAGGGCTGCAAAAAGCTTGTGCATCTTGATGTTAGTTACTGCAAAGGTTTCGAGGTTGATGATGAGATATTGAAGCTTGCTTCTCATATTCCGACCTTCATGTATGAGGGTGCAAGGGTACTGTCGGAAGAAGACTCCATTGATGGACGTCATGACATAACCAACTTTCCTCTCATCATATGTACGTCTTCAACAGTGAGTGATGATGGCACAACCCTAAGTGAAATAGAGGATACGATTAGGGGGTGGCAGATTGCTGATAATACATATATAGTTTGCCATTATTTGTTAATCCATCTAGAGTACATTGGTTTGAGAAAGTCGTAAGTGTTTCTGTGATTTGGATGTACTACTGCCGGACTAGTATATTTTGGGTACCTTTTCTTTTCCTGGTCCTTCCTTTTTCATTAGTTTATTATTAGTTCCATTTTTGCCTTCTCATTTTTCTACTCTGGTCAGTTGTTAACCTTTTTAAAGTTCATAAATGGTTCAGATGAAGATTAAGCAAGAGACGATTACAGCTACTCTAGGATACGCAATTTACTCCATTTTGTGGTTCAATTTCCATTTGGTTAGGCGTCAATACAGTACGACACTCGTAAGATAATTATATATTTGATAAGATTTCGGTTTTAGGGAAGGTCAATATAATTATGTTAACGGTTGGTAGCGCATGCATTGCTAGCTGATCTTGTTGAGGAATTCCAACCCACATCTTGTAGAGGAATTCCAACATACATCTTTCGGGTTGAATCCAATGATCATAATTTCTGTATATTTATCCTTTTGGGTATAGAGTTGCAAACACACGCACTCATATTTTGCCTTTTCTTTGTATTGCAATGACAAGAATATAGTAGGTCACAACAGTAATTGTAACAGAGTGCTATATATATAAGAAAGCAAGCATGCACCCAAAGAGCAGAAAATTAAGAAGAATATATCATTCAAAAACTGAAATAGGTAGGTACTGTTGTGGTATGTATATATTCAAATCAAATATTTCAAACATGCATATATGCCAACCTAGATAGGAAAAGGTGAGGCCAATGCTAAGAGAAACTAATCAATTAACCAAATGAATACTAATACTACTAGCCAATATTGATTATACCTATGCTTGAAGTTCTTCCCGGTCTCTAGCTAGCTAGCTCTTACTGCTTCCTCCTCATGTGGTTGATCTTGTTGAGTCCCGGGAGGTTGAATCCAGTGTCATCGAGGAGAAGGGAATCACGGTAAAATTATTGATAGTATTGGGCGATGGAAATAACATCTCGCGGATGATTCCAATGTGAATGGGTATCATTAAATATTGGAATTACGATATATATATATACTGAGTCTTAAAAAAAAATAATAATAAATAAATAAATTTGACAGGGCATATATTATTGTTTTAATAATATAAAAGATTAGAAATAATAAGAAAATATAGAGTGTTGGAGAAAGATAGATTATAAAACATTGAAGAGTTTGTAGGAATCAGTAGATTAAAGAATATTTTAGAAACGGGGAAAGTTTGTAAATATATATATTCAATTCCAATAACTAAATCATGACCATTAATTGTAATGCATTTTAGCAGTAAGAGATATCTATATATAGGTAGTTGTCACATTTATAACAACCACCTCTAAACTAAAAATCTGATAGTGAGAATGTTTTTGCGTGGGTGGACAAGACTAGAGGTAAGTTTGTAGGTTTTAGCATAAGCTTTCACCGGTAACGGAAAAAAAAAAAAAAGGTAACGGAAAAAAAGGGAGAGTGAAAGAAGAGGTTTGTCGTGGCTTAAGTCAACAAGTATAGACACTTAGCTTCTTATTGAAGGCCACCCTTTCAAATTCAACAACGAATGGAGGTGGTTGAAAACAATGTCGAGATGGGTCAAAGATGATACCGTATCGTTCTTTATTTCTTATTTTTGTAGTGTTAAGAAGAGATATATATAGTCTAACGTCCGCAACAAACAACCAAATTTGAAATTATCCCTAAATAATTCAAATCTTTTCTCATAAACCTAAATTACCCCTCTCTCACCGTCATACACACAAAAAAAACTTAAATGAAGGGTATGTGTGACATATAAAATAAATTCATTCATCATACACGTGTCCATGGAAGAGAAACGTAGAAATCCTCATAGTAGAGAATCCACATTTTTTTTTTTTTTTTTTTTTGTCTTCTAGTGTATAAGCCTACAACGAGCCACCTCATCCAAGTCTTTGTCCTCCATCGTATTTTCCCATCTTGGTCACCGAGCAACTTATAAAGGAGGATTTTAACAAAAAAAAAAAAAAAAAAAAAAAAAAAAAAAAAAAAAAAAAACCTTATAAAGGAGGCTTTGAACATTTTAAATAGTTTAATACAAATCTCATCCATGGACACACCCATAGGTACTCTCTAATTATTTAATCAAAATAAATAAATACAACCATACATGCAACATATATGATTGGATCTTTTTAAAAATTCATTTCTACCCAAAAACCAAGTAGGCTCTTATACCATTTATTTAAAAATGGGTTTTTCAAATTTTGGGAAGTATGAAAACATTTAATTGGTTTGTTTAGAGACAATTACTATTTTCAAAAACCATAAATGAAAATTTATTTAAAGACTATGATGAATTGTAGAGATTCAAGAGCCCTTTACCTCTTGGGATATGGTATAGTCCCAAACCCTTGGTTCACCTTCTTCGGTTCTTCCACCATAGATTATGACTTGTGGAAACCGTATAGTGTATTTTTGACGGGGATGCTGTGAATACCAACTAGAAAGAAAAAAAAGAAAAAAGGTTATAGCATAAGAGAAACTTAGAGAGAGAAATGAATGCTAGACAACCATTAAGGTACTTATTGAAGAAAAAAGAAGAAGAAAGAAACTTAATGGAGTCAGGACACAGTGTACTTATTTAAAAAGGAAAAAAAGAAAAAAATCAACAAGTATAACAAAGATAACTTTCTAAATCAAAAGGCAAATAAGAAAAAAATATATATAAAATAATATGCTAAATAAATGGTGTAAAAAAATAAAGACTTTGATAAATATAAAAACCAAAATATTAATTAATAATATTTTTGTTAACTCTATAAGCCCTTATAACACACACACACTAAGCCCCATTGCACCCCTTCATCTCTACTTACTTTTTTCAATCTCATTAATTGTAATTCAAACTTGGGCTAGAAGTCAGTATTCATTGGTCCCATTCTCCTCATGACTTCAATTGACTCGGTCAAACCCCATAACCCAATTCAATTAGGCCTATAGAAATTACTTATCTCAACCCAATTCAATTAGCCCATTAAAAATTACTACATACTCATTTCAATAAATAAATCAAATTAATTATCAGTCATGCTTAAAAATCATTCATCATGAGAGACACTGATAAGCAGAAATTGAACTTTTGAGTAATGAAAAATGACAAGTTATTGACCATGATCCATAAATATTACAGAAAGGACGTTCATTTCGGTGCAGTTTAAGGAAGAAAATTTAGAATAACTCATGCATATGAATGAAAATAAAACGTAGAAGCAAATATTAAGGATATTACTGTAATTTCTGGGATTCCCAAGGGTCAACAAAGTAAGAGAAATACTGATCATATGGTACCTTTTATGGTCTTTTGACTCCTAATATTTAAGTAACTATAGGTATTGCGTAATAAATACTCCTTTTTTCTGACTTTCACGGTTTCACCAGCCAATCACACCTGCAAAACATATTCTCCATTTCTTGATTTCCGAAATAGGAAAATATACTCCAATATATACTTTTCTTCACAGCATTAGAGAAAAATGTAAGCATCGCCACCATTGACAAGAGCTTGAAACTGTTTAATTGCGCAAGATGACAGTTTATAGCTCACTCTTAAATAGAGGGGTCCATTAGGAAAGTGTACCCAGTCTCAGCAAAGTGGGATTTCACCAGTGCAAGAGCCTTGGAGCGGTGAGAAATTTTGTTCTTTTCTTCCTTGGGCATTTCGGCGTAACTACAACAGCAACAACAGTTAGCCGTGTTGAGTCCGTACCAGCAATATAGAGCCTACCACTGAGTAAAACAAACAAAATAGAAAGATATATGGGTTTAAGTTTGATCATATCCATCGGGTTGAAAAACTGGATCCCATCCGAAATCCTTAGGTCCCTTTGGAGGAACTATCTTCCCCTGCGATGTCAACCATAAGTCAAATGTTAGCCCTACGAATTTGAATATTAGGTTATTTGCAACATTCCACTTTTTACCTTTCTACTCTTTATATACAAGCACAATTTCCAAATTTTGAAGAACTAAAAATATTAAAAGTTCAAACTAAAGACAAAACAATCAAGAAGTATAAACACTAGCAAATGTCTTGCTAGGTTAAATGTTGTACATGAAAATAGCAAAAATAATATAATATTATAATCACATCTCTATCAAATTCAGTTTTATCATCTTCCTTTGAGGTGACAATATGCTATTGAGCTGATGGGGTAGGCATATTTGACGAATATAAAGGCCCTGTACTCCTCTCCTAAAAAAATTCATAATGGAGAACCATAACGGGTATCGCTACAATTATTAAATAAGGCCCTGGGTAATATCCAAACTCACCTGACATGGAACTCTTCCGTCCTGACTAGAGTATTTTTTTTTTCGGAATTTTCTAGAATATTGTTCTATCAGTATATATTAGCCATAAGAGATCATATATGCCGTTGATGTAACCTTTCTCTTATATCATCCATGACTCCTACTTACAGCAGAAAAGCAATATTGAACAATTCAGTTCTGGTTGTTAAGAAGATCAATTCTGTGAGGTCTTCCTAATACATACAAAAGTTCATGAACTGAAGTATTATAAATTGGAACAACTGCCTGACAGTTCATGAACTGAAGTATTATTAATTCTAACAATTGATGACATGTTACTTTTAAAATGATAACATAGTAAATATTTTAAATCAATGTCCGCCGCCACAAAGACCAGTTTATTTTCCATCTCTGGGGAAGGCAACAACATAATTTTCATCAAAAGCACAACAGTGTTGCGTCTGTCTGGATCCTTGAACCAGGACTTTAAAGAAGTTGGGGATTTTAAATAGGAGGTAGTAAATATAGCCAAGGATATAAACACTGCAAAAGGATCGTGTAACATAACTCTGTTAATTAGGATTTTGCTATTTTATCAAAATTGAAATGAGAAAGCCCACAACTGACTGACAAAAGTAGCCCCTAAATGATGTTTCAAGGAAAAAACAAGTTTCAAATAGAATCAAACTGAATACATGTTGACCTTCCAAGGCCCTTAGTGGTGCTTCAAAGTAAACTTGCAACGTTTGTCATTTTCAGATTTTCTAGGAAATAAGCATAATTTTTGTCCAAACTCATGGTGCAGTCTGCCATTGCCTTTTCTTCATAAGGAACAGTTGGACTTTTGACTTTGGCAGGTGGAAGAGGCAAACCAAGTTTTGATTAAATAATTAGAGAGTACCTTTTACTGTATCTGAACCTTGTCGGACCCCCAAAGCAATAGAGTGTGCTTAGTGCTAGCAAAGGAGGAGCATGGATTTCAGGAACTGGAGGACCTTTCCTACAAAAATTCAACAAAGCTCAAAATGCAATTACGTGCATAAAAAAAGGTACCACAGATCTCTAAACCAAAATGTCTACTGGGACATTTCAGGTAACAGTCAAAGTGACATGGGAAGGATACCGATAAGGTTTAGGAAGGGTGTGGATAAAGAATTTTGAGGTCCCCTTTGTCTGTTTAAGGATCCTTTCAGGGTTTTTTCCCTTCTTCTTTTATATGCTTAAAGCATAAGGATCCTATAATGCATTACTTGAAGTATCAGGGAAACTAAGTTGGACTTCAATAGGAATGTATATTGTAAAGAATAATAAGTGCATAAATCAATATATGTTCTGCCTATGCAGGTCGCAAGGAGAAGACTGGAAATTGACTCAAGGCATAATTTTTGCACAAAGTGACTACTCTCATACTAGAACCCGCAACTTGAGGCTTGCAAATCCTAACGATCATAAATGGAGATGATATATTTCCAATTTCTAATTATATCATTTGTACCCTAAAAATATGATTTCTATAACTGGGATGCTACAATTAGTGTTGTGAGATTGTTCAGACACCAAAATTATATGCACAAGTATGGAGAAATTAAAAGATTCAGCAACTAATATTTTCTATTGGCATTGAAATCAATTGCAATTAACAAGCACCGAACTAAGTTGAGTTGAGTTATATTGTCTTACATGGGGATTATTTTTAATTCTAGTGCACATTCTTAAAGAAACATGAAAGAAGATTACGTGTATACATATTAATATATCTTCTTAGCTAAGAAGAAAAGGCTTATCTAACTTGTCTAATGTCAGCTTATCTAACTTGTCTAATGTCACTTCTTGAGTTATACATATTTTTGTAGCATAGGCCCCGACGAGGCCACCCTAAAAATACAGCATTCCTATAAATAGTTGTTTGAAACATAAATAAGTAACTAAATGTGTTCCCCCTGCCAAAAACTTTTAACACCCTAAAAATATGGCCTTCCTATAGATAGTGTGCTTGAAAACAAAATAAAAAATAAACATGGGTCCCTAACATTTTGCAAAACCTTCATATTATGGCCTCTCTATAAATAGTGAGCTTGAAATGAATTCTTTTAGACTTTACTTTTGCAAGCCCGCAATTGGAGAGAAAGGTCTAGAAAACCCACTATATATGTATGTATGTATATATAGGATGAATAGCAAATGGGAAGTACATACCGTAGTTTTTCCGAGGAAAGTTTTCGGATCTGCGTTTGGCCCAAGAGCAAAAGAAAATACACAAACAGTATAGGCTGATTTATCCTCATATGCGATCAACAAATTGTTCAGTCCTACAAAAAATGACAGGAGCATTAGGGGGAGGCACCAATGTGAATATCAAAAGATAATAAAACAGATAAGAGAAGGAACCAAAGAAGCAAAAATAACAACCTTCGCGACCAATCTTCTGCAGAAACCACTTGAAAATCCACAAGAAAGCAAAAACAAGATGTTAATATCAGACCAAGGAGAGAGATATCAAACTGCAATAAGCACCTTTGAACTAAATAAGAAAGGTTAGCAAGATAACCTTTGCTTAGGTCTATCTAAAAAAAGAGTTAGATATAACTGACATGCTGGGTTTTTCCCCCATAAATAACACATTGGTTTTTCTCTTTATGAGAGGTTATCATAAGCGATATTTTCCCACTTCAATAACATTATTAAACAGAGGCTTACCCAGAAATTTATACTCAGGGGAACAAAAAGTAAGCCATGCATACAAATGTATTATCTAATTTGGCATATACATAATATATAAAGATGGAGAAAAAAATTTATACAACCAAAATGGTGTATTGAATCAGTAAACAACTAGAGTTGATTAGGTTGGTCATAACTCAATTTGCAACATCTACCCTGATGTTGTAATGGATCCACAAGCAAAAGAATGATCAGAAAATCATGTTCCCATCTAGCCCAGTAAATGGGCAAAGAATACAACGTGCAAATAGGGATCAGAGATTGCCATGATGCCTTTCTATGGAATCACGTGATTTATGTTCTAGGGTGATAGGTCATCCTATTTGAATTCTTTAAATCTATAATGAAAAGAAACCAGCAATGAGGTACATATATAAAGCCATGGATACAGGCTCAGCAAAAGAAGCAATCATAAAAAGTTTGACTAAAATGAAGATAAGAACAAGGCAACTTTAAAAGCATTGACACGAGATTGAAGTGTCAATATAATCACCTTTTGCGTGCAGTTGGTTACTTCCAGAACCTGGATTTTTCTATGAAAACCCAAGCATAAAGTTCGATGAGAAAGTTAGAGGGATTGTAAGCTTGCAGAGTTGCACGCAAGATCAGTTCAAACATTTTGTGGAGCTTAGCAGGAAGACAGTATTATGAAACTATAGGGTATCAATCCAACGCAATTAATCACTTTAAAATTTTGCATCTTGCTTCATTCTGGTGAGTGACTTAGTCACTTTGCACCTCAAATAATACAGGATCTTAGGGCCTTAAGGGTGCTTTTTACCCCTATCCATTACTGAATATCATTGTTCCTTCTTCAACTCTGTGTAAAAGACTTGCTGAATAAGATTATAAAATAAGCTATACCCTAGTTTCCTACACCATAATAATTGATTTATCCCTTTGATTATTAATAACTAGAGTAACACTTTCACAACTAGGAGATGCTGCTGAAAGGAGGACAAGAAAATTTCAAAATTAGAAATCTTACGGCTTTTTGGAGAAGCGACAATAACCGAATCACCATGAGGTTTCTAAAAAGTCTCTCTTAATATTTCTCTTTGATTTGCATAGTAATTTTAAAAAAGTTCCAAATGAGGTGTATACAGTTGACTGGTTTTATCATTAATGGTATACTTTAACCTTGCTTAACGAATGGTAGCTATTTTATTGTTCGAGTTGATGAAATTGTAAAAACTTAGCTGCAATTATTTAACCCGCAACCCCCTCTCTCAAATTTCACGAAATTGGACTGAGAAATACTGCACAAAATCTGATGGAGATGGACAATACTTCCTATGCATGGAGCTTTCCACAAAATACACCTATTGCAAATGCTGAGCTTATATAATACTATTTTTTATACTGAAATTCATACTCTAAAGTCTAAATGACATCCCCTAAACCTCTCCATCAAAAAGGGAAATGGGTTCAAATTATAGGGAAAACCATTCGTGGTGATTTATGACAGTATCTTTTCGTGGTGCAGAAAGAAAAACAAGCTAAATTTATGACAGTATCTTTCCGTGGTGATTGCCTCTCCTTCCTGCTTAAAGACAATAATTCATGCTTTCTCTAAGCATCAACACACTTTCAAATGAGCATGTTGAACTTCTACTCATTAAAGAGAGGCTCTGAAAGAAAAATCCAATAAACTAACAGCTTAGGTATCATAAGACCAATGTTGATTTCTATTATATTTGACAGTGAACATACCTTGGTTTTTCCTGAAAACTATAAAAATAAAATGAAAATCAAATTTCAAAATGGTAAACCAAAATTGCATATTTGTAAGATATTGTCCGCTTTGGGACTGAGCCTGCACATGAGCCTGCACAGATTTGTATTAATTGGAGATGACACATCTACATATAAGCACTTCGCCAGTGTGTAGCTTGACAGTGTCTCTCGCACCCGCCCACAAGGTCACGTTCCCGTCGGCACACTTCTGGCTGGGTCAGGCTCTGATACCATTTGTAACGACCCACTCCACCACATGGTATGATATTGTCCGCTTTGGGCCTGAGCCCGCACAGAATTGCTTTTGGGTTTTAACCAAAAGGCCTCGTACCAATTGGAGATGATATATCTACATATAAACACTTCCCCTTTCCTCTACCCAGGCGATGTGGGACTTGTGCACCCGTAGCTCACCAGTGTGGTCGCCTGACAGTACCTCTCGCACCCGCCCACGGCACACCCGCCCACAAGGTTCTCACAAAACAAGTCATTATTATGAATAAAAATGCCCAAAATTTAGAATAAATACCTGGGATACCATTAAGGGCATTAAAAATGAGGCAAGCGTCTTCCACCAGCACGGGCCCTTTCACCTTCGCAATCCCACAAACAGAAAAACTTTAAACTGATTAGACAATTGTATATATAGAATACTCAAATATGTGAGTGTGTGTCTAAATAGATATAGAGAGAGTACCTCTTTTGCAGCCAATCGAGTCTTTTCTTTGGAGATATTTTCAGGTTCGCCTTAGAGTTCTGGCAGTGAAGGAAAAAAGGCAGAATTCGAAAATGGGTGGGTGAGAAACATACAAAAAGGAGTACAGTCTATCTTGAGAGACTGGAGTTCCCCAGGATGGCTCGGACTTCCTCGAGCTTTTAGGCGTTGCCGGTCACGAATGTCACCGGATGCGATAGCACTATTCCCGAACTACCAACGCTCGCCGCCGTCATTTCCCCGCGCTTTTCTCCCACTGCTCTCAAATGAAATCACAGATTTTGACGGAAAGTTTAGTGTGGAAAGGGAAAGCCAAATAAAAACCCTATTTTTTATTTTATTTTATTATTTTTGTTTTTTTCAGAGGGTTTAGGGTGGAACGGAAATGCAAATGTTACAATTAACTCCCTCCAATTTTTAAAGGTACATTTGAGACTGGTTAAGAAATTCAAAAAAAAATTAAAAAAAAAAAATTACAAGTTGAAATAAATAAACCAGAAAAATGGAAACTCAAAATGACCTTTTGAACCCTTAATTATTAAAAAGGAATATAAAAAAAATCCCTTAATAATTAAAATACACCATTAATAGGTTTAGGTGTTTAACCTTGTGTTTGTCCCCTGTTTTTTCTCACACACACAAATGTATGATTGGGGTTGACAAAAAATCGGTTGAATGGATAAATCAAATTGGATCAAACGAGATCCGTCGGTAGGTTTGGTTTGATTTTTTCATGATTCAGTTTGGCTATGGTTCCAAAAATATAGAACCGTTTATTAATGGTTCGGTTATAATTTGAGATTCTCCAAAATCGAACCTAACCGAATTGTTTTATAAATTATATATATTTATATGTTTTGTATTATATAAATAATAGAATAATAAGATTAGTCTTTTAACGGCTCAGCTATACTTCATAATATAAAATAACAAATTATATTATAATAGAAAATTATATTATATATTACTATAGTTTATATTTTAAATATACATAGTAATATATATATTAGATGGAATTCTAAAAAGCCTGTGGAATTGAACCAAACTAACTCGTTTTTTCTAAGTTTGGTTTAGTTCCATTGATTTTACTGTTCGATTCGGTTTTAATTTTTAAGGAACCGTTCAGTGGCGTAGCCACATAGGGACAAATGGGGGCAGCTGCCCCCACTGAACTTTTAATTTTTTAAATTTTATATGAAAAGATTTTTATATTTGTATAATTGCCCCACTAAAATTTGACACTGCACATACATATACTATACATATATAACCAAATGACCATTCACGGTATTACAAAAAAAGAAAAAGGAAAAAAAGAATATAATCTTTTAAAAAAATATGATATTTTTTTTTCAATTTCTCAAAATATTATATTCTTTCCCACTTTCCCAAAAATACAAGATATTCTTTCACACTTTTGATTTTACTACAAACAAATGCGTTGTTTTCATCACATTTTCACTCTTCAACATTTCTTTTTCAGCGAGTCTTTAACATTTCAAAATTTCACAAAATCCAAACAAATACCGTAGTGCGGAGACAAATAATCTAATATATATATTTTTATCATCTAAATTTATGGTTATTATGCCATGAATATTTTGAAAACTCAGCTGCGCAATTTAATGAAAGACCAATTGATGAATGATATGATGATTATGTATATTGAGAGAGACATATTTAGTAATGTTGACAATGATGTTATTATTTAATACTCTTAGAATATGAAAAATATTCTGAAATATTTAGTACTGTTTAATTTTTATATATATTATTTTAGTTCAAATTATATATATATATATATATATATACATATTATTGTTATTAAAGATTGCTCCACTGAAGGAAATTCCTAAATGTGTTACAAACGGTTTGATTTCAAAATATTCTCAAATATGTCCAATTTGAACCTTGTGCACCCTTATGTAAGATGAAAGAAGTCATTTTCATGAAAAAAAATGTTGGAGCACCAATTGGCAAAGTTGAGATCCTCGAACTCTATACCTAGACCAATTTTTATCATGCAGTATGGACGTTAGAAAGACTGAATTCATGCCGACACACAACAAGCAAGCTCAAAACGTTAGAGAGTAGAAAGCTAAATTTAATGATGTCCACAATGTCATCATCTTTAGTCTCTAAATATACAAAGTGAAATTTTTTTTCTAACCCTCCATCATCGTTAGAAAAATATTTAGAAGATGCACTGATAAAAAGGGCTATTTCTTTTGTTTGTCTTTTTATGTGTCTTTAGTACTTCTAAAAAGAAATACCACGAAGGTTCCACCGTTCCAGTAGAACTGAGACTCATATTTTTTTGTCTCTATTGGAACAAGTAAGGAAGAATATATTATGAATAATCCTTAAATTTCCACGGGTCATAAATAAATAAAAATCTATTTCATCTTTAATGACATTATAATCTTATATTTTTATTGACCATAATGAGTCATAATAATAAGATTGTGTGGTGAGAAGTGGGGAATCTAAGTATTGTCTATATATATATATATTATTATTATTATTTTGTAAGTAAGTAATTGTATCAAGAAAAGAAAAATAGTGTACATACATAAGGACCAACAAAAGTAGGGGTGTAACTTGGGTTTACAATTAGGGTTGAATTTTGGTTGAAAAATCTCTACCTGAATTTAATTAGGGTTGGACTTGGGTTGAAGTGCTAGCAACCCGAACCCGAATTCTAATATTTTTTTCATATATATTTTCATTTTAAAATACATTATATATAATATTTAAACTATGATTACTTTTTTTCTTTTCAACTTCTTTTGTTAAATCTTAACTTATTGTATGTTAACATTTAGGAGAATTATTTTTAAAAAAATTTGTTTATAATTTATTAAAAATCTATAAAAAGTCAAACTTTTTCTTGTTTAAGAGTAATTTAATCTAAAACTAATTCAAGATCTTATTAAATTTTCGAGGATTAGCCATATGTGTAAACCCGAATTAATCTGAAATTTTTACTCGGAATCTAAGTCCAAGTTGCAAGCCCGAATTTAAAAATATAAGGGTGGGTTGAGCTTGGATTGAATAGTTAAGGTTGAAGATAAGATTATGATTGAACTTAAATTTAGCATTTCATAAAATTGGTTGGGTTCAAGTTATACCTCAAATCGCCGAGTTACAGCACTAAACAAAAGGGACCTAAGGGTCATATACAAAACCATAAATACATGCATCTATATCATTGGCTGAAAATAGGGGTGTCAATTTTTACCCCTCCGTCAGGGCCCCGACTCGTCCCACCCCATTAATAATGGATATGAGAACACCTTTCATACCGTTGGGACGGGTATGAATACAAATTTTGTATCCATTGCGGGTCACGGGGCGGGTAAGGGTTCAGTATACATATCCGCCGAAGCCCCGCCCCGCTAAGCATATAACTATATTCAATATATATATATATATATATTAATAACTTATTTGGGATGTAAACTTGATATTAAATTTACTTTTGCTTTGGTTATGGTGGAAGTTGGAACTTAGAATTTCTTGTGGTTTAGTTATATTAAACCCTTATTTTAGTTGATTATGTTCTCTGAATTATGTTATGTGCATGTTATTTTTTTTATTTTTGTTAGGATTCATAATTTTATTTATGTTGTACCATTCTTAGACTTTCCACTTATAAATAGCAGCGGCTTAACTCCCAAAAAGTGGGAGAAAATTTTTTGTTAACGGGGCTGGCATGGGGCACAATACTTTTCAACAGGGTGAGACTGGACATGAAAATCTAACCCGTCGCGAATCGCGAGGTGGGCATGAAGTTGACAAAAATTAAATCGGACAGGGCAGGATTTAGAAAAACCCACTCTATTGCCATCCTTAGTTGAAAAACGGAAAGAGTGGTGGGGCAAGGTTGTCAATTCGATTTACTCTTGTTTCTCTTAGTTATACTCAATCTCGTATTGCACATGCGCATATATATTGTTGGCTGAAAAAGGGCAGAGTTGTGTGGGCAAAGTTGTCAATTCGATTTCCTCTGTTTCTCCTAGTTTTATACTCAACCTCGTAAGCTATACTTTGTTGCCTCAGGTGTGTGTATATATATATATACCAAACTCAAAAAAGCCCTAAAACACAATTGTTTCTTCTGCTAGCCTCCTGTAAACTTTCCTTTTGTGAAACAACCTCCTGTAAAATACTTTCTTTTGTTAAGCAAATACTTTCTTAGATTGATCCATCGCAATATTTAGAGGTTGTTCATCTCCATACATTTAGAGGTTGGTCACCAAAACTCAATTTCAATATTGGTTTTGCTCGTGTATATTGTGTTGTATTATTTTAATTTATGTTTTTCTTTGAAACTTAATTATAATTTCAGTTACATGATTTTTATTTTGTTTTATTGTTTTCTGTTTTTCGGGTAAATAATTGGCTCTTTGTTGTTGAATCTGAATTCTTTCTTTATTTATTTTTACATGATTTTTTTTATAGTTTTGCAGTTTTTTTTTTTCCTTTTTCTTTTGCTTATGATTAAAGTCTAATTCTTAAATGTCAGCTAAAATCATCATAAACAAATTACTTTCACTCTTGATAAGTGGAAATTTTCCCCATTTTTTGTGAGCTATCTGAGTCACAATATTAATTGCTCTAAAATTCTAGTGCCGTTTCTTATGCCGCCTTACAAAAACTAATGGAAATAGCTCCTCCTAGTTCCTAAAGGTTGTGTATAGAATCCCTTTCAAGATTTAGATTGGAAAGTTTAAATTCCACACCATATTATCATTAGCAATTGCGACCATTAATCATTTGTTTTATTTTTCCTTTTTATTATATATAGTCATAAAATTCATGGTTGCCTTAATTTAGTTTGGGTTGATCATATAGATGGAAGAGCTAAACATGGATTGCTTGGTGAATGTGCTTGGAAAAGTGGGAATGGAATCCCTGCTATTTGATGTTCCCTTAGTATGCAAGTCATGGCACAATGCAACACGGAATCCTCTGTGCTGGCACCATCTTGATTTTCCCAACTCCTTCAAATCAAGATTAGGATCAGAGAGATTTAATGCAACTGAATTGATTAAGTTTGCCGTCAACCGTAGTGGTGAATTTGCTGTTTCACTATCTCTTCCTTACTATTTTACGGCCGATGCACTCGATTGTCTTACAGAAGGGTAAGTTCTCGAATCTTCTTTACCATAATCTTTTAGACAACAACAAAAAAAAAAAAAAAAAAATGGTTTGAATTCACAGTGATATATTTTTTGTTGGCAGGTGCCCTGGCTTGAAATTTTTGACGCTGCCCTCTATATCGTGGGAGGGTATTACTCCCTGCTTACCAAGAGCAATAGGCAAGTGGAAAAATTTGGAGACGTTAAGGCTTCGTGGCACTGCTGATATGGAACCAATCCTTACACAAGTCAGTCTTCATTGCAAGAATTTTGTGGATTTAGGTTTTTTAAAAGGCGACATTGATGAAGATGAATCAGTGTTTATAGTGGACTTATTGCCAAACATAAAGTATTTGGATCTAAGGAAGACATGTGTAGAGCGGGAGGCTCTTCTGAGGATTTTGAAGGGCTGCAAAAAGCTTGTGCATCTTGATGTTAGTTACTGTCAAGGTTTCGAGGTTGATGATGAGATATTGAATCTTGCTTCTCGTATTCCTACCTTCATGTATGAGGGTGCAATGGTGCCGGATGAGGAGGACTTGAGTGATGGTTATGACATAACCAACTTTCCTATCATCTTATATACGTCTTCAAGAGTGAGTGATGATGGCACAACCCTAAGTGATATAGAGGATAGGATTAAGGAGTGGCATATTGCTGATAATGCATAGTGCATGTGTTTCTCATTATTTGTTAATCCATCTAGAGTTGGTTTGAGAAAATCGAAGTGTACGTTCCACTCTATATATATATATATATATATATATATATATATCATGCACCTTTTCTTTTCCTGGTTCTTCCTTTTTCATTAGTTTATTACCTTGGTTGTCATTTCTCATTTTTCTATAACCACCAAATTTGCTCATGTGATCTTCCCTACAATTTTTGCATAAGTCAATCTCTTAATTTAACAATATTGCATGTTCAAAAGTAATTAAGTTTTAAACTCAGTGTACTTTTGTCCATATTTATAATTTGAAATTTACTTTTCAAAAAAAAAAAAAAAAATGTTTTAAACTCAGTAAAGTTCTGTTTCAATCATTTAAAGTTAGGTGCAGAGATCCTTTTCTGATTTCGTAGTTGCTAAATTGTGTGGAATTTGATTGTATATTTTTTAAAAAACTTTCAATTCTAAGATTTTCCTAAAATCAATAACCACGTATATTTTGGGGAGTAGGTCACAACAGTAATTGTAACAGATTGGTATATATAAACAGTTTGAGATTCAAATATTGACTTGCCTAACAAGTGTACCTTGTCCATGATCAATATTTCTCATTCATTGAAATTCATATGAATCTGGTTGTTAATTTCATTGTGGTCCTTTTTTCCTCTGCAAATTTCATGACATTCTGAAATCCTATACCTTAATTTGAGTTTGAATTTAAGTCATGCTACTTACCCCACCTCATGGCTTTAGCAGTCGATATTAAAAAAATAAAAATAAAATAAGGAAAAACTAAACCACGTTAATTAATTGGGGGAGGCATCTCCTCCATGTTGACTGCAATGTGCTGAGTCCTGCTATGGTCATTCGTATTTCTGTTTGCTCTTTAAAGGGTTGGGCTGCCTTTGGGCTTGGGCCTTGTATGTTTGGCTGGTATCATTTGGTTAGCCTGGGCTAACTATCCTGCTTGTGTACAATGTTCAATGCTTTATATAATACTTATTAACCTTGGAAAAATAAAAATAAAAATTTGATGTTGCTCTTTTTTTTTTCGAAATCAATACATAAAAATGTCGTTTACTGGCTGAGGCAGGAATTTTCTTTCTTTCTTACTGTAAGCATGTATTTGCTAAATATTTTACCCAAGACTTGCAAGAAACAGAGTCTATTTTCTTTTAAATTTTCAGTTATAAATTAGCAATGTTTAAAATATTCATCCTAACCAACAGAAAATAATTTTTCCTCCAGTCATTTTACTTTTTTTACTTTCAATTTCCAAGGTTTTATTTATTTATTATTTTTTTTGTTTTGAACTAACCAAACGGAACCTTGGGAATGTCTTGCAATGTGTAGAGGGCTAAGACCCCGAACCCATGTTGTATAATCCATAAGGAAGAGTGTACATTTGAATAGGTTCAATTTTGAGCTATATATGTCACAGATACATACATATATATATATATATATATATATATATATATATATATATATATATATCTGTGGTCTCAACCCAGGTCCACATGAGACTTGGGGTTTTTCTTGAGTTGGGTTTGCAACTTAAGCCCAACCCAAGCCCTTAAACTAAACATTTCTGATGGATTTGAATTAGAAAATTGGCCCATATACGTATAAGATTGGAAACGTTTATTTTCTTTGGCCCATGGTTTAATTTTTCTTTCACACAACCGAGATGCTTCAATTAATTGATGTAATCTATGTATATTATACACACTCAAACTTGAATCTACGTACTCAAACTTGTTATTATACGTACTCAAACTTGTTGAAATTATACACACTGTTTGAATCTCATTCAAATCTTTGAGACTCTAATGAAAAACTTTCAACTTAATATTTTTATAGATATTGGTTTGAATTTTCAAAATTTTTGATAGATTCAAACTCATTCCAATATAAAAACACTCTACATTTGATCTCTAAACTGATACTACAAACACAAGAAGATTTTAGTAGAGCAATTCAAGCCATTATTGTACTTTGTTAAGTAAGGTGCATCGAAATAGAGATACTCCAATTATTATACTAACATGTTTCAAGTTTGCTCATTTTACAATATAAATCACAAAAAACGGTTGCTAAATGAGTCTTTAGGAGAATTCGGATTTTCTTCTGTAGTGCGTCATGTGATTTTATATCACTTATACAATAATTTTACATTCTTATTAAGTGATTATCCTTTACAAAACTTCAACCACAAGGACTTCACAAAGAGAAGATTAGAATAAAATATGATTGTGATATACTCCGTACTTTATTGTATTCTTAACTTCAAATTTGCATTGATGCTTTAACTATGTTGAAGGAATTATATTATTGTTTAGGAGAGTATATTTTATTGTGTTCGTCCATCTGGATAGCTTTTACATTTAGAATCAAGCTTTTAACTATTTTTTTTTTTTTTTTTTGAGAGGGGTCTTTAGCACCTTTTTTTTTTTTACTCTCTGTTTCGTTTTTAGGATTTCTCAAATTAATTATCTTATTTAAAAAGTCAAACAAAAATAATAAGTACTATATTTTCATTTTTTTTTTTTAAAAAGATCTTAGCAACTTAATAATATATACATATTTAAACTTAACAGAACAAGATGATAATTTTAAAAGAGAACAGTGCATAAATATATATATATAAGAAAAAAGAAAAAGAGTACCATGCATTAATCACATGTTTTATAAAAAAAAGGATTAATATAAGTCAAAGTGTTCACTTAGATTGCACAAATTACAATCATGCTTGCTGTGTGAATCATGCTGCGCTTTCCATTTTTTTTTTGTTTTAACTTCTCATTGTGTGAGAGTGGGCTGAGAAAGAGATTATTTTTGTATATATATATATATATATATAAAAACATGAAAGCAAACCATTTGAGAAGTATCCAAATAAGGTCTTCAGTACACATCTTAGCCCCAAAACAAATCAGACCCACTACCACGAGGTTGACCTCTGAAACACAATATGTAGTTACAATAGCTCCTTCCATTATAATTCCTCGAGTTGTGTCATGCGAGGGTAAACACTAATCAACTAAATAATTATAATATTATTTGCTATTTTGGTCTGTAATCAAAGTATTGTCTCTATATAAATAGTTGTATTTTTTTACTTTGGTTTGTAATCAAAACATTATTTCTCTATAAATGGTTTGATTTTTGATTTTGTTCTCTAATCAAAGCACTATGTTTCAATAAACTGGTTTGATATTTTGTTGTGGTATAACAAACATATTGGTGGTTGAGAAATAAATGTGGTTCAAAGAAGTTTGCTAAAAATCAAATGATTTAATGTGTTGAAATAAATGTAGTTCGGATGTTGTTTTTTTGTAGTTGTGTTCATGATTTTGGTTAGTAGTATAATATCTCCCTGTCTAATTCGTTTATGGTATTCGTGTTTTTTATTTAATTTTTGAGTAAAAGATGAGAAGATGTGGTTCATAATTGTGCAAATTATTTTATTTTCTTGTAGTTTTGTTTGAAACTATAAAGTAATAGTTGTCAGTTTTGTTAGATTCCATTGACTTTGTTTGTTTGTGTCCCTTCGTATATTATTTTTGCTTACAACTGTTCAGTGTTTTAATTCTTTTGAAACTGGTTGTTGAGGGGTCCTTATTTATTATCTTCTAGAAAATTGTTTTTTTTTTATTTTTTACACAAGCATAAACCTTGTATAATTTTTTAGGTAATAATATAAAACTCTTTATACTATTGATTTGGTGTAAATAACCCCTTGAGACTTAAAATGACTGTAATGTCCTTATATCAATTAATATGTTAAAATGTAGGCCATGTAAAATGACCAATTTATCCATTTTTAGCACCTCATTTTAGCACCAATTTGTTAATTTGCCCTTATGTCATTTTTAGTACTCCAAATTGATCTTACTCCCTCCGTCCCTTATTAGTAGTCCATTTTTCTCTTTTTACATGTCCCAAATTAGTTGTCCTTTTTGAAAAGTCAAAGTATCTTTTCTTTATATTTTCATCATTGTCCTTTATCTTTTTTTAAAAAATTCAAACTTTATAACTATACATATTTAAATTAAAAAGTATAATTTGATAATTTTAAAAGAGGACAATGCATTAATTGCATGTCCCCTTAAAGAGTTATAAACTAAATATGGACAACTAATAAGGGACAAAGATAATAATTAAAAGGACATGATTTGAATGTTATTATCTATCCCATTACTAACTTGTCAAGTAAAATCTCAACAACCAATGATATTCACCACCTTATCGAGAAGCTTCACCAATCCTTATTATTTTTTGCACATTACCCTAAAAATTAAAATGTTTTCAAAATTACCAACCACTCTGTATATGATATGATAAAGACAACTTACCCACTGTGGACAAAGATAAACAAAGCTACATATACAAATAAAGACTTCAAGAGGTCCTACCACGTTGCCAACAACCTTTAGTATTATTATTATTATTATTATTATTATTATTATTATTTGTTCTATGGTGTCCTTGCCTTCACTGATCTCTTTTCACAATGGGTTCAAATTATGAATGATAAGCTTAGCAATAAAGTTGAGGGTTTTACCGTGGATACATTAGTAAAGACGGTTGAAAGGAAAAAAGCACTAAACAACTTCCAGCATGGTGAGGAAAAGTAGCCAGGACAAGTCATATAAGAGTACATAATAACTTTAAATAAAGGCAATTTGAAAGGAAAAGTGAAACGTGTGGGGTCTACTATTTATGGAAATTTGAAAGAAATGAAATTATTAGTGTGACCCACCATTGATAAAATTTGGTAGCCAGGTTTAAATTAAGTGTGTAGATACATTGCATATATAATGTTGTTGGTGTCAATACATTTTATATATATATATATATATGTGTGGGTATTGGTGTGCATCCAATATTTAAAAATAAATAAAAGAAAATAAAAAAAGTCTTCTCTCTCTACATCCTTCCATATCTTTAAACGTTGTTTGTTTTGATATTTTTACTTATGTTAATTAATATTTATTT